GGTAGTATTGATACTATCAGTTGATTTCCAAATTGTTCAAATTCCAGAATGCAAAATAGGTACCGATATTACTTTACGCAGTGGTATCAATACAATGAAGCATAGCATCGATACTAGTCAAGCCAAACGATTTTCAACGACTAGTTTATTTAAATATTACAAATGTAGTACCGATACTCAGTAAAGGAGTACCAATACTCCCTGTCTTGGGCAGTTTTATTTTGTAGAAAATTAATCTCCAAACGGCTCCAAAACATTCCAACGACTAGAAATGATCACAAACTCATTTCAACATATAAAAATAAATTGAGAACACTTAAAGAAGATTGGACAACACCTATCCAAGCAATAGAGATCAAGTGAAAACTTTTTTCACTCTTTTTTTTCTCTCTTGTATATAAGTGTGTGTGAGCTTATTGAAAATCTTTTATTTGTTTTCTTGTGAGCTTAATTATTGTAAACACACACCTTAGTGAGCTTTTCTTGTTTACATCTCTTATTCCTTTTGTAAAGGAGATTGATTTTAGTTTAGCCTTTGAAAAGCAATGGAGTTGTAAATGTTATCTCTTTGTCCTGGAAAAATAAAGAACAAATTAGTAAATTTGTTAGAAAATCCTAAGTGAGAAGCTTAGGTTGTGGATGTAGACTTGGTTGAGAAGTCGAACAACTATAAATCCTTGTGCAAATTGTTTCATCTTTATACTCCTTACTCCTTAAACTCAAAAAGCCAATTCACCCCTCTTGGCAAAATTTTCGGTTGATCAATTTGAGCTTCATTCAAATCCCAATAATTGTTATCAGAGTTTGACTCATTAGAAGGTCTAACAATCTTGAGACGATCCTTGAAGAAGCTCTATTTAATTTTTAAAGCAACCGAGAAGATAGCTTCCACTTCTGGCTCGCTCCACATAGAAGATTCCCAACCGATCGACAAGCCTCCAAACTTCAATGGAGTCAACTACCGTCATTGGAAGAAATGAATGAAACTATTTATTCAATCCAATGATCTTGATGCATGGGAGATGATCAAGAACGACTACTATTCTCCAAAGAAGAAGACGAAGGAGTGGAGTGCCCAAGAACGGAAGAAAGCTCAACAAAATGCTAAGGCCATCCACATGTTGTTTTGTGCATTTGGTCCCGATGTCTATGAAGGAATTTCTTCTTGTTCAAATGCGAAGGAGTTTTGGAATAAGCTCGAAGAGATTCATGGAGACAAGAAAGAAGAACAAATAAAGGCAGTGTGCTTAATGGCTCTTAAAGAGCCCAATGTATCTTCTTACTCAAAATAATTAAATTCATATTCTTTTGATGAGTTACAAGATGCTTATGATGAATTGTATTTGGAATTTGAGTCCATGAATTCCAAATATAAGAAATTAATTTCAAAATTTAAAGTTGAAAATGATTTGATTTTGAAAGCAAAAATTGATTTCGAAAAATAAAATGAAATTTTGAAAAATGGTTTTGAGCTTTCAAAAATCAAAATCAATGATTTGTAAAAAGAAAAATTTGATTTTAAAGTTAAGCTTGAAGGTTTAACAAAGAAAAAAAGAATTAATTTCTCAAACCAATTTATCATATTTAAAAATGGTAAAATACTCACATTGTCATTTTCATAGTCATTTGGAACAAACTTGTCTTTTAAAGAAAGTAAAACGTTTTAAAATTAAACAAGTATGGGTTCCAAAGGGAATAAGAGACATTAGCACTAACAATCAGGGATCCAAAGCAATTTGGATACTAAAATCCAAATAAATGTCTCTTATAGATGTGTTGAAGTAATGATGATAAAGGTAAATGATTTCAACTGCTCTTGTTAGACAAAAGAAGAATGAGTAACCTCTAACCTTAAAGCTTTTTGATTTTGTAAATTGGTTGCCTATTGATTTTTATACATGCATGAGTTTTTAACATGAATGATTACACATTGTTTATTGTCTCATGTATGTTGATAATATGTTATAATGAACATTTTAAAGTTTCAATGATTTTTCATAAGTTTTTGGTTCATCATAATGCTTTTTTGTCAAATTTGTTTCACATGTTGTTTTAAACAAATCTTTCTTATTTTTTGACCTTAAATTTAAATGTTTATGCATGTGATTTATTACAAATGACATCTCTTTAACAATTGATATCAATTTTTTATGCATAACATTTTTGGATAACTTTATGCACATGCACTTAGTTTCAACAATTTGTATTGCATAAAGTATATTAGACTTGAATATATTGAATTTCATGTGCTACTAACTTGTTTGTTATTCTTTGTTGAAATGTAATGTATTTTAAGTGTCATTTTTTAAAAGTCAAATTTTTTGTTTGGAATGCATTTGTTGAGGGGGAGTTTTTTATTTTTCAAATGCTTTTAATGTTAAAATTACCACTTACTCTCCATTGTTATTTTGAACTTTAAATTTGAATTATTTTTGATATAACAAAAAGGGGAGAAGTATGAGTTTGAAAAATTCAATTTAAAGAATGAAAAAGTGGATCTTTAATATTTTCCAAATATTTTTATTTTGCATTAAATATTTTATTAAGGGGGAGTTTTGCCAAAAACAATTTTTTCAAATGTTTTGTTATATCAAAAAGGGGGAGATTGTTGATAAATGTTTTCTAATATTTTGATATAACAAATTTAGGCAAAATGTTTTTGGACTTGATTGAATTTGTTCAAAGTTTTCAAAAATAATTCAAAGTCTATTAAACTAGAATTTGAGCACAAAACATTTTTCTGGGCACGTAGTACCGATACTGTTCTTTCAGTATCGATACTACTTGAACAATATCGATACTATTCATGTGGTACTGATACCAAAGGTTAGAGAAGTATCGATACTCTCTAGGTAGTATCAATACTACTAGTTGATTTCCAAATTGCTCAAATTCCAGAATGCAAAATAGGTACCGATACTACTTTACACAGTGGTATCGATACCATGAAGCATATTATCGATAATGGTCAAGTCTAATGGTCTTTAACGACTATTTTATTTAATTATTACAAAGGTAGTACCAATACTCAATAAAGGAGTACCGATACTCCTTGTCGTGGGCAGCTTTATTTTGCAAAAAAAAAATCCCCAAACGGCTCCAAAACATCCACAACGGCTATAAACGGTCACAAACTCATTCAATCATATAAAAACAAGTTGAGGACACATTAAGAAGGTTGGACTACACCTATCCAAGCAATAGAGATCAAGAGAAAAACTTTTTCACTCTTATTTTTCTTTCTCTTGTACGTAAGTGTGTGTGAGCTTCTTGAAAATCTTTTATTTGTTTTCTTGTGAGCTTAATTCTTGTAAACACCTACTTTAGTGAGGTTTTATTTTTACATCTCTTATTCCTTTTGTAAAGGGGATTGGTTCTAGCTTAGCCTTTGGAAAGTTAGGGAGTTGTAAATGTTATCTCTTTGTCCTAAAAAAGAAAGAACAAATTAGTGAAATTATTAGAAAATCATAAGTGAGAAGCTTAAGTAGTGGATGTAGACTTGGTTGATAAGCCGAATCACTATAAATCTTTATGCAAATTGTTTCATGTTTATACTCCTTACTCCCTAAACTCAAAAAGTCAATTCACCCCCTCTTGATAAAATATTCAATTTGAGCTTATTCGAATCCCAACAAGACAAATAAGTAACTAATAAAAAAAATTGATTTTTAAGGTTAACACTATTAATCTCACTATGCGGCTCCGGCACCGTTTACCGGGTGAAATTGTATGAAAAGAGAAAATCATGAAGTTAGGTAGGCATAGTAAATGGGTGGGTCGTGTCAAAAATCAATGAACAAAATGAAGCATAGAGGGTTGGGTAAAAGAAGCGACTACAAAATTGAGAGCGTAAGCCGAGTCCCCACCATGGTTGGTATGAATGAAGGATGTGTTAAAACACCATTGGCATTACACTTCAAACAATAAATAGTTAATTAATTAAAAGAACCACATTGATACTTGTAAATAAATTTAAATGATGTGACATTCGATCATATGATACTTTAAAAATTACAGTTTATTGACTGAGTAAAAAAAACTCTTAATTATTTGATATTAAATGTTCATACTTTTTGTATTCTTGATGTTCGAATCTGTGACCTTAAAAAATAACAACTCTCTTATTACTGAAGTCGTTTAATATATATATATATATATATATATATATATATGTGTGTGTGTGGTATTGTGTTTTAAAATGATTCAAGTCCATATATATTATAACAAGAGTAGGATACATCTAAGCATGCATTATTTTATATTTGATAGCCTGATACATTGTTTTCATATTCATTAAATACGATATTGTATCATTAATGTTATACGTTTGAAGGACGGTTGCATGGAAACTGGGTGACGTCAAGTGTCCCACCACCACCAGAATGATAAGTGCAGCATAAGAATTTAATGGGGTTCAAACAAATATATGCTGCATTATTTTTCAACATTTTGATCATGACTTGGGGGAACATTATTCATTGCCCCTAAATATCATAGATATTTTAATCAAATCTTTTCAGTTTCATTTTCTTTTACTCCCATAATTTTCAAACAATTTTACCCCTTTGTTTTCTCGTTAATTGGAGAACAAAAAAGTAAACTACTGTTACGAGATTAAATGATAAACAACTTGACATTATTTAAATAAGTATTGAGTTTGAATTTTTGTGTATATAGAGAATTTTCACTGAAAAATTACTCACTAAAACTTAATGTTTAGGTTTTAGTGTACGACCCAAATTAATCCGAGTTACTCAGAACAAGAGAGAAAAAAAAAAGAATAAACCATTGTTTCAGCAAAATAAAGCGAAAGGGATAAAACTATTTGAAAATTATGCCGCTTAATCAAATGTAATCATTGTTTCAACAAAATAAAGCAAAACAAATCATCCCTTCTTCAGATAAGATTGCTTCCATCTCTATGCAATGGGTTTGTTTGGCATACATTCATTCTTTTTAATATTGTTTTCATAGGTATAAACTAATAAACTGCAGAGAATTTCATCAGTTATTCACATGGCTATGTTACAGTTTATAAATTACAAATCTCAACATTTAAGTCAATACAGGGATTAACAACAGAATTACAGAGAAAACTAGGCTCTTCAACAAGGAATAAGAGGGGGGGGGGGAAAGGAATTAAAATCAACGCCAAGAGTACTAGTTCTCGGCTCATGGATAAAATTTGCAGTAATATCTGATTCAAAAGAATGCTCGGCTACCATAGAAAACCCTGGACCCATCTTTCTTTTTCTCGTGTTCTATTTCCTTGCCGTTGTTTTGGATGAAATCGCCACGATGTTCGTGTTCGGGTCTGTCAAGATCCATGGGAAGCTTCATTTTAGCCAAAGACTGTGTAAATTGTTGCATGCTCCTCATGTACATGTCCACTATCTGCTGCTGCATTGCAGATTGCTCTGCCTCAAGATTGATGTTCCCCAATGGAGCTGAAAACACTTGTTTGCTCGAATAACCCGACTCGTTCTCGTATCGAACTTCGCATCCTTTGTTCGAAGTCAGTGTATCGGGACAACCGTCTGAGCTCGGATTAGTCTCGGTATTCGATGGCTCTCCTCCGAGACGGCTCTTCTTCTCATTCGAGTCAGCTGAGTTGAGATCATCGCTTAGGCTCGTTGTGGAACTCAAAAACCCAGAATTTTGGAGACTTCCATTGGGAGAAAAGGAACCTCCAGGGATTTCATGGGGCGAATTTACCGTCATCTCGTAGTCTTGGACATGACCGAGTTGAAGGAATGAGGCAATTCCTGGCCTTGGATTTAAACCATTGAAGTACTGTGAAACCATTTGCTGATTCTCCCGAACAACATTGATGTCAGGGAACTCGATCCTGGAATACTCAACAGGGTCTAAAATAGTTTGGGATTCAGATATCTTCCGGTCAAGCAATACCACTTCCGCTGAGATGGAAGAATTGGTTGTTTTTGTCTGAGAAAGGACAGCCATTGACGTGTTCAAAGAAAGACTCAATTTGACAGTTCCGGCAGGAGAATGGAAAAGATCAGTGGAAGAGAGGCTATAATCTTGAGTGATTTTTCCTTTGCCGATAACTTGTGAAATGGGGACCAAAGCAAAGCCTAAAAGCTGATCTTCCAAGTAGTTCCTGGCTCTACTAAGCATCCAAATCTCGCATTTGAGGACAGCATCGACCTGGGTTACTTTCATCATCAGCTTGTCGTTGAATTCGGGATTCTTCCCACCTCCATTGATGATCCTGGTCGAGTGAGCATCATCGGGGTTATAGGTGAGCGAGAACTTGGCATAAACATCTTGGTTGTCGTAGATACATATGTTGTGAATATTCCTAGCATGGTGAACGTAGATTTCCAGAATGCCCGAGAACTCGGAATCTCGGTCCGCTTCATCAATGGTGTTTGAATTCGGGTTAAAACGGAAACCAGTTGATGTACTGAAAGAATCCATGACTGGAAAAATATGAAATCAGAGTGAGTTGAGAGGTGAGGAAGGCAATGGAAGCTACAGTTAGCGGTTGTATATCATGTTAGATTGAAGGGTAGGCGAGGGAATTCTGCAAAAGGATCCATGAATTCCAGGAGAAGCATGGAGCTTTTGATGATGTTGATGAAAGTGGTGGTAGGTGGAAATCAACAGGGAAGAAGAGAAAATCAAAATTGTTGTTGATGTAGATGAAGACGATGACGTTACTTGTGCCTCTTTTATCATGCAGGGTACAGCCTCCACTCATTTTCAATTAGTTTCAGCATTTAAAAAAAATCCAATCTAATAATTAATTATTAAAATGTAAAAATATTAGTATAATTTTTTTGAATAAAAAATATAGTATAATTTTAATTTAATGAACCAATTCATATTCAATTTAATTAAAATATTATTAACAAAATAAATGTAATTCAATGCAAATACATATAGAAATAAATACATTAGGGGGTTGGGTGGAGGATAGTGATTTATGGAGAGGGCCAGAGGGGGTTGCTTTGCTCGACAATACAGCTTCCACTTGGTATGACTAAAATTGCTCCATTTTGCAAATGGCGGCCCCCACTTGGTCCCTTTCTCTTCCATTCAAAATTAATTATATTTTTAATTCTTAAATTGGTAGGTTTATATTAAGAATATATTGTATGAAATAATTTAATTTAATATTAAAAAAATCATTGTTATTTTTAGAGGTAACAGTTTTGAACATCGACAGTTGTAACAGAATAACTAAATGTTTATTGTCAAATGATTGAGATTATCTAGAACAGTTATGAATTTATAAATATTTTAAATTAATAAAAAAATATAAATATTTTAAAAATAAAAAACGAGTCCTTCATCTTTTATGTTTGGATTAAAATTTAAGTTGTAAAAGATGTAAATAATTTATTGGAAACGACAAATAATAAGTTGGGGGACGTATAATTGTAAAGACGAAATTTCCGCATTCAGCGAAAAGGTGAGATCACTAACTCCGGCAATATGAATGGGGAAGGACCGACCTTTTTCAGAAGAATGATTGCTTTTATTTCAACAGTCAAAACCCAAAACTCAACGTGTTCAAAGCATTCCCAACTCATTTCATATTATTGGGCTTTAGGCTACGGTTTTTTTGGCCCAAAACAAATGCAAAATAACATTTCATATTATTGACATCAAATGCAGTGACTCCAATGAAAGTTTTTCAATTTAGATAACTCAAGTGTAGCGTCTTTAAGAGTTTGATGACCAGTATAGTTTTGTTATCCAAAAGAAAAATGAAACTTGAAACGCGGGAAGACAGTTGTTTCGTATAATTACGTGGCAGAAACTGATTGGAGATGGCACCTCATTGGCTTGTCGGCTAGACTACTTTATGACTCCATGCGGATGCGGTGCATTTTTCCGTTTTTACCATCCTCATACATTAATTAAACCTTTACCGTAACGGTAATGCACCAAGGACATTACAAAACCCAACCATACTGCTCCACGTGTCAAACAATCCCCGTAAAATCCCTTTATTTCAAAAATCTCTGATCATTTATTCTTGTTCTATTGGCTGTCACAATACATAAAATGACAGCATCCTGGAGCATAGCACCAGAATTAACTCGAGCATTTAGTTAAAAATTAAAAAAAAACCCAATATCAATAAAAGAAAAATAAAAAAAAGAAATCTATAAAGATTTCCTCCTATATAGAAAAAAAAACAAGACAGGCAGATAATCGTTCTCCGATCTGTAAAACTCCATAGACCGTTAGAGAGAGAAAGAAAGGAGACCAAGATCAAAGGTTCTAATCCCTCATTCTACTTGGAAATTCATTTGAATCTTGATTTTTTTCTCCATTGATTGATTGAATTGTTTCGATTTGTTGTATTTATTTTTCTTGCTGTAGGTACGAAGAGACTCTAATCGTCTTTGCTGTTATATTCATAAGGAGCTACGACGATGAAGAACTCTGAAAGACTCGTCAATTTGGCTTTAGCAGGTTTTCCTTTTATTGATATATTCTTGATTAATTTTAGTTTATTATTGCATTTGAGAGAATTCCTTTCTTATTTAGATAGTCTACGTTCATTTCTTTATTCAGTTGTTCAATTTAGTTGAGTAGGAGAAGAGAGTGTTTATTTAGTTAATGCATCTTGGTTTGAGTTGCAAAGGAAATAAGAGAACTGATTGGAGAGAAATTATTAGAGGGTGAAATTTGGGAATGTGTAGTTTGGTTAGAACGAGGTAGCTTTGTTATCTCTGACTTATTTATAAAGTAATTATGAACCAAAAAGTAATAAACAAAAGCAGCAATAGGTAAATGTGCTCGAATTGCATATCCCGACCTCTCTTAGTCCAAATGCATTATCAGATATCGAATATGCTAGATTTAATGTGGCTGATTCTTTTAGAGAATATTTAGAACCATCTTATTATGAGTCACTGTTAGATTGAACCAATACAAGGAGCCACATGTATGCTTAAGAAGCTGGACTCTTTCTAATAGCATCCTTGATTTGCTAAATGCAGGGTTGACATTGGCACCTCTTGTTGTGAAAGTAGACCCTAATTTGAATGTTATTTTAACTGCATGCCTCACTGTATGTGTGGGTTGCTATCGTTCTGTGAAGCCAACTCCACCATCAGTGAGTATTACATTTAAATTAAATTTTGGCATCTTCTTTTCTTTATTAATGTTTATAGACCAAAATTTGCTGACAATGTCATATGTTTCAAACAGGAGACAATGTCTAACGAGCATGCTATGCGTTTTCCATTTGTTGGGAGTGCAATGTTGTTATCACTTTTCTTTCTGTTCAAGTTCTTATCAAAAGATTTGGTTAATGCTGTCTTGACATGCTATTTCTTTGTGCTTGGGGTCGTCGCCCTTTCGTATGTTCTTATGGATTTGCTGCTACATTTTACCTTTATTCAACTAATTTCCTTGATGCCATATATAATTGTGTAATCATCTTATTTATTCTTTCTGCCATCATTCTAAGGGCAACGATAGTGCCCGCCATAAAACACTTCTTGCCAAAGCATTGGAACGAGAACCTTATTATTTGGCATCTTCCATACTTCCGCTGTATGCACCTTCTTTTATTATTCTTTTGAAGTTTTGATATCCAGGTTTATTGTAAGAGGATTATTTTTAGTTTTTGAGCTGAATGTAACCCTTTTTACAGTGATTTGTTCTTATGTTGCTTCAACTTAATCTCCTTATGACATATTCTGCATTATTTTTGCTTTATTGCATCTCATATTTGATCTGAAGAGTCTGGATATACCGGTATTCTTGAATGTTCTTTCCTGAGTGCTTTTATGTTATTCTCCATTTCTCTGTAAATTACTTTGGTTTGGTTTCTGTCGTGGAGAAGGAAGTTATATGCTGACAGGAAGAACCCTCTTTTTAATAAAGGATACCATGTGCTTTAAGCTTTCTGCCTTTCTTTAAAAGTTCCAGTTCAATTTTGTTCCAGGATTTCCCTCTGGATTTTGCATAGGTCCAAAATGGAATTAATTCTTTGATTGCAGTGCCACCTTTTCTTTGGGATTCTTTTTTTATTCTACATAAAGTTGGCAGCTTATGAGCACTCTATGTCCATGATTGACTCCTTAGAATTCTTATTTGATCTAGTTGGTATTGCCTTGCTTGTATTATTCAGAATGATGTTTTTCCTTATGCCTTTCTGAAACATTCTTAAACAGCTTTTGAGATCGAGTTCACAAGATCTCAGATCATAGCTGCAATCCCTGGAGCCTTTTTCTGTGCATGGTATGCTTCGCAGAAGCATTGGCTGGCTAATAACATTCTGGGTCTTGCTTTCTGCATTCAGGTTTGGCTGAATACCTATTTTGTTGACTTTTCTATTCGCTAACAAGTTAATTTGGTGCTTGATATCTAATCCCTTTTCTACAATTTTGCCATGAGACCCAGACAAAACAATATTTTTTTGGTATATTTGTTGTCACAAATCAAACACTGAAATTGGAAGTTCATATTTCCTTTAGCTGAAAAGTACTTCCGGCTGAGCATTTTTTAAAAAGGAAAATTGTTCATTTGCCCATGCATTTTAAATTATACACAGAAGTATTCATTTTCTTTATGTTTTAATAATTTTGTGATAGAAAATATGATTTATCTATATTTCATCACCTTGTTGCCTTTTTCCTACCAGAATTCAAAGTTTATGGCCGTTCTTTGTCAAATGTTATACACATATTAGCTAGGCTCTGTTTGAAGGTCAATGTTGGTTTTTGCAGGGAATTGAAATGCTTTCTCTTGGGTCTTTTAAGACTGGTGCCATTCTCTTGGTAAGAAGCGGATTTGTGCTTTTAGTTGGTTATTCATGGGAAGTGTTCTTTCCATTTTTTGTGAGACTAGTTAGCTTCATATTTTATTTAATTATTTATTTATTTTTTGAAGTGTAGTGACTTTTCATTTTTTAGCTGATTTTGACCTTTGAATAAAGTAACATTTTTATAGTTGTTTCTTAAGGTTTTATCCATAGACATCATTTCATTTTTAGCAATCTGTTTTGATGGAGACTTGAATTGATCCTTGCAGCTTCTATTTTACATTTAATGCTGGGATTCACTTCTTTGAATTTTTTAGGTTGTTTTTAGTTTGCTCTGATTAACCAAATATTAAAGTAACGTTTCTTTTGCTGACACTCCCCATATTTATGCGGTGCAGGCTGGGCTTTTTGTATACGACATTTTCTGGGTTTTTTTCACTCCTGTGATGGTCAGTGTTGCGAAGTCTTTTGATGCTCCTATAAAGGTCTGTTATTTTTTTCATTTGATATACTTAGCTAGGTTTGCTTTTTTCCGATTTATATTTTCAGTGTATTATTAAATTTTGTACCCATGGTGATATGATTTCTTTTAAATACTTTTCTGCAGCTTTTATTCCCAACAGGAAACTCTGCTCGACCATTTTCCATGCTTGGACTTGGTGACATTGTAATTCCTGGTATGTTTGATATCTGGTTTTTGTTGGTAGGTGTAATGCATGCTGTTTTTGTGATCTGAGATTTTGTTTAGTACACCTTGTTTTCATATTAAAGAAAAAGTATTCTAAGATCTTGAGTTGTCTAAATGACTGTTACCTTGCCTTACTGTATCTTGTTCTATACCTAGAGGTCTGATGTATTTGTCTTGGCAACTCTTTATTTCATTTCATTTGCACTGAAATTTTAAGGCCTACCAATCATTTAACTTCAGACAGTGGCTGTTACATTAGCGTTAAGAAATTCATAAATTATATGCTTTAGTTCTATTTAATACAGCATTCTATTTGTAGAGTATGATCTCATTTACTGCTGTAAGCTCATTTGATTTTTGTTGTTTGATTATGAAGTTTTTTTAGCCAATGGCTTCATCATCATTGCTCTCAGGACAAAATGCAATCTTGTATGTGCAGTGATATTATCAGCTGTTGGTGTTCTCCGAAGGCCTCTTGACTGTTTATTTATGAGTTTTAATAGAGTTCACAATTATGGACAAATATAAATTTACTTGGCTAAATTTTTTTTATTGACTATTATTCCTTTTAACATTAAAATTTTCTCTTAGCATTATGCACATTTCTATGAGAAACAGCTATTGTATAATCAATAATTTTCAGTTTTTATATTGGTTTATTTCTCCCTTGCAGGCATTTTTGTAGCACTAGCGTTGAGGTTTGATGTATCCAGAGGGAAAGAGAGCCAGTATTTTAAGAGTGCATTTTTGGGATACGCAGTAGGAGTGGTCCTTACAATTATTGTAATGAACTGGTTTCAAGCTGCACAGGTAAACTATTCATCAAGCCTTGTTTTATCATCTCTTCCTGCTATTGCGCGTATAGATGTATCGAATGAAATTTCAATCCTGTGGGTATACACTCACTCACTTATCACGAGAACATGATAAATCTGATTTGAATATTGTGCTTTCAGCCTGCACTTTTGTATATTGTACCGGCTGTTATTGGACTCTTGGCTGCTCACTGTATCTGGAATGGAGAAGTCAAACCGGTTTGTCTTCCACCCTTGTTTGATTCCCTCTGGCGTTGTGTTCTTGGCATGACTTTTTTATTTATTTTTTCAATAGTAAAAGAAAATGTTTGCTATTGTTCTGTTTTCCAAGGAGTAGCGACAAGTACAATTGTTGGCTGCTTGTTGTCATAAAACTCGTAGGATTTGGATTAGAGAATCAGCTTAATGTTCATGATAAACAATCATGTTCATGGAGGTACAGGAGGACCTTATGCTCTATAGTGGTAGATTAAATTAGCTTTAAAAGGGGTTTTTAACTGTTTTAGATACAAACAAAAACCTGAAGAATGGTATATTAATTGACATTCGAAATAGTACTTATAGATTCGTTAAAGAGTTAGAAACATTATTCCAATGATCGTGTCAACGTTCCTCATGCATGGAATGTTCTTTAGTTGTGTCATTGGTATATAGGAGTTTTCAGGTTTGAATTTGATGATTACCTTCTATATTCGGATCACGGTATGTTTAACATGATTTGCAGTTATTGGAATTTGACGAGTCAAAGACTGCGACTTCGTCTCAAGATGGTAGCAGCGGTGACGAATCTAGCAAGAAGGTTGAATGAGTTAGAAGATAAGCAGAGACAGACACCGAAACCATTGAATTTAGCCTGGGAAGGATATAGTGTTGAGTTTTAAGGTCAATCTTGGCTAACTTTGTTCTAAACCTTTGTGACAGATTTTGGAATTAAGCAAGAGATAATGAGGGTTAATTCCAATTTTCTTAGATGTTCACCAATCGCAATGTATTTCATAGCAATTAAAAAGATTAGGTCCCTGTTTATTCCTCAGAAGGTGATGGATCTATTTGTTATGCAGCTCAAGGACGCTGTGCGTGTTCTGCTGTTTGAAAGGTTGAAATTTCAGTCTCGTTCAAAAATTTGTCTGAAGAGCATTCATTGAATACGTACTCATAAGAAAGTTGCCATGTAATCGAAGCTATACGTTTTTAATAACTAAAGAGCGAATTCTAATTCAATCCCGAACCAATTTACCTCGATGGTTAAATGAACTATTGTTGTTTTTAGAGGTTACGGATTTAACCACCAACAGCTGCAGTGGGATGATTGAAAGTCCATTGTCAAATGATGGAGAATATTTAGAACGTATACTACTTTATAATCACCTTAGCTTAATAAAAATAAATTAATCAACACTTTAAGTCTGTGATCAATTGGTATTCTCAAGGACTCGACTTCACAAAACAAGTAGTATTTATACAATTCTTATTGTTGAGCTATTCGGACTCAGCTTCAAGTCGATGATCAATTGGTGTCCTCTTAATTTGGAACGTGTTGAGATATAACTGGATAATATCGATGTTGTCTAACTAATTTTTAGTGACTTGATTAGTTTGAATCTCGTCTCCTTAATCTCCGATTTCTACTCTCTATAAAAGTGGTAAGTTACATTTATTACTTAAACTATCAACTTTGATCCATTTAATTACCTAAACTTGTAATTTATTTAAAATCATACTTAAAGTTTAATTTTTATTTCATTTATTATCCCACATTTAAAAACTTTAGTTTTTATTTTATTTTAGTATCCCGTTCAAAATTTAACGACAAGTTTTGAAAAAAATTGAGAGTTTAGGTACTAAAATCGATCAAAACTTATAGTTTGAGTACTAAATGCTTTAAGTTTTTATCGGTGGATTGGAATGATTTTGAAAGTTTAGGTACTAAAATATATCAAAATTGATACTTTAGATACTAAATGCAAAGTTTACATGGGAAAAAAAAAGATTTTGACTTCAAGTTCATACAACTTGATTCAAATATAATGAGAGATAATTTGTTACCACTTACATGATAATTTGTAAAATTGTTTTTGCTATTATTTAAAATATTTTTGAAAAAAAAACTTTTTGATTCTTGTATAATGTAATAGTTTATTTATCAGAGATTTAATACTTTCTTTTCTATTAAAGAATAAGAAGAGAATGCATGAAAACATAAAATAAAATAAAATAAAATACACAAAGGGTAGAAAATTACTCGTAAATACGAAATACCAAGCCTCTGTTTATTTATTTATACCATCATTTACAGAACAAAACACTAGTTAGTTTCGGGATCAAGCCCTTTTAATTAGATTGTGTTCAAAGCCCAAATACTTGATTTCGTTGCTCTTCTTTCTTTCTTTTTTGTGCCGGCCACTATTTTGTTTTTCTTCAGCCGCCGCTTCGATTTTTTTTCATCTTGGCAGCCACAAATATTCACAAACGTCTTCTTTTTTCACGATCAAAACTCATTTTGACCGTATCCAAATCTTGTTTTGTTGTTTTCCCGTCTGCCGACATATCCTGCACGTATTCCGACGTTCCAGTGTCGGACTCTTCGGCGTGTCCGTGCTTCATAGCAGTCAAGTGTGTCTCTCTCTTTCTCTCAGTCTCTCATGTAAGGAAAGCAGATATCTTTACTAGTATAGTTAAATCTATCGAAATCTTCTTTTTCCTGGTGTAGCTTTAAGCAGCGGCAAACGCCCATTTCGGTATTTAACAGAGTATCCCGGTGACAGGGCCATGAGGTGATGAAAACTATTCTCCATGGCTTCGAAAATGATTAGGATCGCACCCTTTGAAGCTCAAAACCAGCTACAACTCTCTCTAAGGCAAGCCTTTGACCTTCTCCAATCGAAACTAAGACCCCCATTTTCGTTAGCAATCCCAAACCCTCAAGAATACACTCAACTTAATCAAGCTATTCTTTATGGTGTTCTAATCGAACCCCATTTCTCAAAAATTCATATTAAGCACTTACATGCTATCGTCATTGATGGGTATAGTGTGTTTTTAAGTTTACTTGTTGGAATTGTTAATGAATTGTATGGAAAACTTTTTGACTCGGTTAAGGAACAGTTGATTTGGGTTACTAAAGTAATGATTGATGTCTCCGCTGTAGGAATTGATAGTTTGCTTGTGTGTTTACTGAGGCAAATTGTTGGTGGTGATTTCAGTGATGGGAACCTTTGGTTATGTTTCGAGCTAGTGAGCCTTTGTTCAAGTAAATGGGATTGTTTGTTACAAGAAAAGCCAGTAGTTTTGACTAGTGCATTATATACATTTCTTCGTATATTAGCTGATCATTGTAGGGTAATGAGTAATCCAAAACTAGAGATGTTGAGGCAGTTGGAGACTGAGTTTTGTGTCAAAATGTTGAGGGATCAATTTCATCTTTGTTTGAAGATAGGGAGGGATCTTGTTCGATTATTACAAGATCTATTTCATGTACCTGAATTTAAATCTATATGGAAAGATCTGGTTCTGAATCCAAGTGAGTTTAGAACTCCCGAGTATTTGGATATTTCTCAGTTGTACTGCACAAGGACTTCAAGTCGTTACTTTTTACTGCGGATCACTCCCGAAATGGAAACACAATTGCGGTTCTTACTCACACATGTGATGCTTGGTAGCCAGAAACGATATCAGATATGGTTTGAAAAGAAATTTCTTTTAGGGCCAGAGAAAGAGAGTCTTATCGTTGATATTGTGCGGTTCATATGTTGTGTGCACCACCCGTCGAATGAAATTCTTCAGTCGAATGTTATTCCTAGATGGGCTGTTATTGGTTGGTTACTAACATGTTGCAAGAAGAAATATATTGAAGCTAATGGGAGGTTGGCATTGTTTTTTGACTGGCTTTTTTTCAATGAAAAAGTGGACAATATTATGAATATTGAGCCTGCAATTCTATTGATGGTCTGCTCCTTGCCTAAATATGTTAACTTTACTCTCTCCCTTCTTGAGTTTTTACTACTTCTTGTGGACAATTATGATTTGGACCGTAAACATATTATAATCGGGGGTGTTTCATTGGCTTTTAATACACTTGTCCAGAAAGGAGTGGTACATTCATTGGATGTTCTGACCCATTGTGATGCACTTTCTCCTCCTTTAAAAGAAAGACTTCAGAATTTATTGTTAAATGATCAATGTAAAGTTCCTAGAGATTTGCTTCCAGTTGGTCTACCTTGCCACTCTACCCCATCCTCGAATTTGCCTGATGTCTCATGTACAGGAAAACCTACCCCATCCACGAATGAGCAACTCACTTGTGAAGGGGAAGCTGGTTTAAGCACCAGAACTGTGGTTGCTTCTATTCCAGTTTTAGATAATTCAGCTAATACATCTACTTTGCAGGTTGTTTCCGTTGGGAATGAAGTAGATGCTATTGAGAGATTAGTTGAAAATATCGGACAGATCATCAAGGAGTCATATGTGAGGGGCCTACAAACTTTGGAGGCCATTGTTTTGTCAATAGTGAATCAATGTAATCATGGACAAACTAGTAACTCGATTTGCTCACAGGACCTATTATCTACTATTGCAAAGGAATTTGAGGCAAATGGATACCAACTCTTTACTTCGCTTGGGAGCCTTGCAGATATTGTTGAGTGTGATGATGAAATTGGTTCTGCCACTGCAATAATTACCCGCGCCTTCATTTTTTCTCAGAATGAAAGAATACAAGAAATGCTTTTGCTTTGGTCAAGGAATGGTTTTCCAGTAGGAGCACGTTTACTATCATATGCATCAAGGGTAGCGTATGAGGCTTATGAAGCAGGTTGTTTTGGAAATTCCATTGCTGAGGCTAAATTAAGTAACTCAAGGCTGCCATTGTTAGCATATCATTTGGATGGATATTTTACTTATCACAACAAAAGAAAGGGAGATTCCTCTGAAGCCTTTGATTCTGTTTCAGAAATGGATGAGAAAGTGATTAACTTGGTCAATGGTGCCTTCATTGCTTACAGGCATTTCCTCGTGTCCTCTAGAGCCATCTTACACAAAGGAGCAGATACCTCTCCTTCAAAACTCCTGTTTTTCGACTTAAATGATTGTTCTGATTGGAAAAGAATAAGAACGAAAAACTTATTCCGCAACATCTTTTGTCATCTTTCAGATTTATCCGTCTGCGAGGAAGACATTATTAGATTGCTAGTAGAAAAATTGGATTATGCCGATCTTACAGAAATGCAGTTCGAAGTTGGCCTGAAGCAGTTCTCTTTGTTTGGAGGCAATCCTAAACTTGTTTTCCATTTAATTAAGAACTCTCTCAATTGGAACCCTGTGGAGCAGCATAAACTCTGGGGCTTGCTCCGATCCGAGCTGTCAGTTTCTAAGGTCCAGGTTGAGAAGATCATTTTAGAATTTTTTAGCACTGGTGAAATATATGGAAACCTTAGTGCAATAGCAGTCGGAGGCTTTCTGACTCTCTGCAGTTGCTGTGCACCCACAGCAGACCTTGTCGGTACGATCATGTCATTGCCTAATAATTCCTTCAAGGACTTTGCTGCAGCTGCTTTGGCTACATGGGCCGCATCTAACGCCTCGATGCTGTTCGACAGCTTAACCAAGTTTGCAGAGAAACTTAAAAGCAAAAGCACATGTTCCACTTTCTTGAATTCAACTGAGATTGAGATCAACCAATCTGCCATTTTGTGGCTGTTGAGCTACTTCAATGCACAAGGGATGAATGTATCCGACATGCTTAGCAACTTTTACCCCAATAGTTAGGGATGCCATGTGGAATGTTCGACCGAGGAATACACCCTGTCCGGCTGTCCCTGCTTCCTCTTCTCAGAATATTGGCAATATTTTGAATAGGAGAATCATCATTATGGAAGCTGAACATGCAAGTCAGGGATTTAGCTGCCGATTTGAAAGGTAATTCCTATTATCTGAAACTCAAGTGATTCTAATAAACCAGCCTAGTAAATTATAGGCTTATTTGTAAAATGTCATTTGTTAACTTTTACTTGTAAACTATTGGTGCATTCATGGGTATCTACGCTTTTGTGAATATTGTGCATTTATGCTATAATGTATAATGCTCCTGACTAATTTGATTATGTAAGTATTTCATTTCTATTTATGTTGAAGTATTTTCATTTGTGGGATATGCATCTCGCTCCCATTTTTGTGAATGTGGTGTCATAATCATGTTTAAGATATTATTTATTTTATATAAAACTTGGCTCATTATTATTTGGTGTCATATCGATTTTAACACATATGCCCAGGATGACTTCCTCCACTGGATCTTGCGGTGGTTTGTATAAAAGCTTATGGAGGCCATGGGCAAGGCTTGTTCCATAGCTGAAGTTTACAGGTAATGTATAGATGATTGAGTTTACAAATATGCTGTATTCTCAGTGGAAGTTTACAGACCAATGAAAGATGATTTGCCTTGCACGAATCTCCATTTTATTATTCGCAAAAACCACCTCTGCCGTCTAATAAACCATGTTACTGCAGCTGTCTCGGAGGTATAATATTGTACACCACCTCATTAAATTTCAATGCCTAGATTCATTGACACCTGATATTTGCTGATTTGATGTAATGTATATGATTTGGGTGCTAAATTTCATTTGAGGATTAATCTAGAGATTTGATTACCGTTGATGTCTGCCAAGTGAAAACATTGCTACTCAAATCCCTTTCTAAAACCGATTGGATAATGCCAGATAAAGTTAGATTCTCAATTCTTTAAAACTAAAATGATTGATATTCAACAGCAAGCAACATATTAGCATATCACAAGAACACCAAATCCAAGCATGTTGTCTTTTCCCTTTTTTTCATTTTTATTTCATAAAATATTTTCCCCACTCTAGAGAGTGGGAGAAGAAACATACTGCCTGGGTAAGCTAAATAGATCTTTCCCTTCAAATGGTGAAGTCCACTCATGAGAGCCTGCAGCTGGAGAAGCTTCTGTAGGAGCTACTACATCTTGCAAACCCGCAATCTGTAAACCACTACCACTGGATGTCAATCTCATTGCCGGTTTCGCACTTAGTCCATTTGTATTAGGGTAATATATGTGTGTGCTCTTCAACGGAGATGTCGGCCCTAGCCAAATTCCACCAGGTCTTGGAGAAGAAGACGACCCCCGATCCAAGCTCCAATCAATATTGGTATAATCCAACTGTGCCATGGAGCTACCACTGCTCCAGTCAACCGGAGAAGAGGCTCCTGATGAAGTTGTAGAACCCGATCCAGCGAAAAGTCCAAGTGAAGATGCAGCCGCTAATGTTAGTGATGCACCTGTTCTACTCCATAAGCCATTTCCACGACTAGTACCTGGAGAATCTCCTGGACTACTTCTGCCCGTGAAGTGCTGCTGTTGTGGATAGTAAAGCTGATGATGCATCTGATTTGAGCTCAGGTTTTTGGAACCAAGGCTTTTAGCAGTTCCAATATAGGGCATAAACCCATTGGACTTTGAGATTTCCACACTACTGGCTGGATACATAAACGGGGTTGAACCGGGAGGAGATAACCTTATACTAGTAGCTGGAACCTGCTTTGTATTTACAGATTGAGGTCGCTGCATCATTATTACAGATTCCCTAATTGAGGGCTGAAATTTCTTAAATTCACTTCCAACAGCCACATTATGACTCTGTCTTTGCTGGTGGTGAGGCCTGCAAAGGTGATGCCAAGGAATAGGAAACCGAAGGGTCTGATCCAGAACTTGACCAACTTTTCTCAGCTGACACTGCACTTTGTTGGGGTTTTACCCATTCCAACTTCGGTTGTATTCTCTTCAAAGGCTGAACACTTTTACTCACTAAATCTGAAGAACTTCCCACTATAACCGGTGCTTTTGCATAGTTAAAATCTTTCTCGTCCCTTCTTTGATGTGTTGCAGTAGATAGATTTGGTTTTGGTTGTGGCCTTATGGATAAGTTCTGACTACCTGCAACTGACACCTTATTGGTACTAGCAATCGGGGGACCACAAGTTTCTTCTGGCTTTGGTAGAGCAGGTGGGTCCTGCTTTAAAGATCTCAAGTATTCTGCAGCTTTCTCAAGATCACCTTCAGCAGCAACAACTGCTCTTTCAACCTCCTGCTTTGTGCACGGGTATCTGATTTCCATGTCAGCAATTCGTGCAAGCTCTTCTGACATGTCAATTTTCAGGTTCCCACCACCAATAGTTGACTCCTTATGCTTAACTGCTTCTTCACTTCCTTCAAGAAGCCATGCCACAGATTCCTCCACTTTGCCTTCATTGAAAATAAGAGCCATTGTAGCCCGATCATGTGAAAATCCCATTGCTACAAGCTGCTGAGCAAGAGCTTCAAGCTTTCTCGACATGAGATAGCCACTGCACCGCTCATGCAACTCATGTGCTCGCCTCTCCTTCTGACGTAGATGTTTCCTTTCATTCTTTTGACGAATTTTTTCTCGCTTATCATTATCAGCTCCCGGTACTATTTCCTGTTGGACAGGAATATTTGATGTTTTCTCTTTGTGCTCTTCTGACTCACCTGACCAGCTACCATTATTAGATACGGAATCATACTCAACCGCAGCTCCAAGTGAGCCCCCCAAATGCTCATTTGTTTCATCTATGTTCCGTAAACGACCATTGCTTTGAAGAGGGGAAGCAAACGATGATGGCACTGTTTCAATGGTATGGAATGTTCCCAAAAATGGATTATATGCACTGGCTGGAACACCACTAACAGCATTAGCAGGTTCAGAAGGCTTTGAAGAAGCCTTCTGAGATTCCTTGCTGGGTTTTTTATCTTTCGAGTTGGACTTGGATGCAGGAGACATTGTTGGAGCCAAACAAAGTCCTGCAAGGTTTAAGACAATAGTTACAAAATCAAAGATGTGTGGAAGATTTAAGCAGACAATACACAGCAAGAGCAGTGGTTATCTCATTTTGATTTTGATTCTCACAATTTTTAGTTTTCACGAATAAAAAAGTGGTGAAATCCAAAAGCTCCAACAAGTAAATTGATTCAAGGACCCTAGCCTGATATGACTGAAATTTATAATCTTGTGCGTAGACCACAAGTGTATAACTGGTACGAAGTTAAAGGAGGCATGTTAAAAATAAAACTTGAGAACTACACAATGAGTGAACATGGTTTCATAGTACGGCCATGGTTTCTTCTAACGAATGCATCCTGGCAATTGCTCCAATTTGTGCAATAGGTTACTCTCATCATAACACAGTCTCAGCAATATGCATATTTTTGTGCGTGTGTGTGTTTGTTTGCTATGTCGCGAATTTTTTATCTTTGATCTTCATTGTTTGGCATAATAGATCTCCATTTAGATAAAAAAAAATTATGAAATGATTTTCAAGATTACTCCACCAACCTAACTCTTACAGCTAGTTCCTAACTCTTACTTATCAGCCCAACACATGATACAGAAAACTGAAATAAATGAGACCTTCAATTGGTCTAATATATAAAGTTGACAGTTTCCTTCTTTGTCCCGTATACGCTTACTCTAACACTGAAAATAACATCTTTATAAAGCTTCCTTACCGTGCTTGAAAGCTCCCATTAGAACCCAACTCATTAAATTCAGATATTACATTCTTGGATTGGCATAGAATGAAAAAATTCCAGATATTGTGCTTTAGCATTGGGACTCTCCATTCACGGACACTTGGTCACTTACAGAAATTTTAAGCCATAATCAAAGTAAAACACTAATATTTGATAGACAAGAAACAGGAGAACAAAACTTTGGAAGGCAAATTTAGCTTCTGAAGACTCTTTTTCTTTCACATTTTTATATATTTTACAAAAGGAAAGCGCATAAATTTGATCCTCGTTCATGGTCAATGGTATCAACAATATTTTTTATAAACCTAAGTAAATTATAACCCGTGTGAATTACAAAACTTCTTGCATCGGCAATTCTTAGTGGCAAATAGCAGAATTGCAGCCATATGAATCACATGACATAGCAATCTTCCTATAAAAGATTAATTCTTAAATCCAGAAAGGGGAGAAAAGCAAAAAAAAAAATTTATTTCACAAGGGATAAGTTAAAATCCACTCAAACTAGAAAGAATTCATAGATAAAGAGCAGACTAACACCCCGGGTTTTCTAGATTTCAATCACAGAAAAACCAATTCTTTTCCGCAGCTAAATTTACCAGAAAAGAGACTATAACCGACGCCTCTAGCTTTTGAAAAATATTTCTGAAAAGCCCGAGTTTCAGGTTAAAAGAGAAGATAAAAAAATGTATTCTATTTCCCTCAATAATAACACATACATCCAGACAGCACATTTCAACCGAATCTAATTCCCTTAATCCAAGAACAAGCATTCGAAGAAGCCAATTCAATCGAGGAATCACCAAAACAGCCCTAAGAGCGGAAGAAAAACACGATTCGTTCGACGGAACAATGCAGATGTCGATAGAAATTTTAAACATACACAGAGAAGGATCCACCGACATGATCAATCACACAAAAAAATCCTAAAAGGAATTACTGAAATAAAAAAAAGTTTTGAAACAGACAGAACGAAAAGGCAGAAATAAAAGGGGAATGAGAAGAATGGAGATACCTGGATTGAATGGAAGGGGAAGATGGATCGAACGATGGAGGTCGAAGGATCAAAGGATAAGAGAGTTGGATGCGAAGAGATAAAAGGGAGGGAGAGATGTATTTCGAGGCCCAAACTGAATCGATGGAATTAGGGTTTTGTTTCGAGAAATTTCATTCATTTACAACAGAAACAAAAAAGAAGAAGAGGAAATTAGAGATTTCATAATAACCAAAATTCACTCGTTTGTAATGGAACCCCATTTATACCTAACCCCTCCGCCTCATCTTTTTCCTTCTTTTATTTGGTAATTTTCCCAATAAATCACCGGTGATAGGTATATTTATCGATCTAATACCGGTCAGATTTTATTTTTTGATCTAACACCCATAGCAGTAAAGCGCGCCCTCTGAATCGCGCTATACGCTGATTTGGAGCCATGTGGGTATAGAGCGTCCCCTGTCCCGCGATATACGGTGATCTGACGCCACGTGGGTATAGCGCGCCCCCTGATCCGCGCTATACCTGGGTATCTGACACGTGGGGTATAGCGCGGTGCAGGGGGCGCGCTATACCCCTAAATTCCCAACCCTTCACGTCCCCATCCTCCCTATAAATACCCCCATCCTCAATCACTTTTATCACACCAAATTCTCTCAAATTCTCTAAATTTCTCTTAAATACTCTCTTTTTAAGGTATATTTTATAATATTTTTACTATTATGTATTTACTTTATTTAATATTTTACTAATATAATTCTTTTGCAGATATATAATGGAAGACAGTCTACTTCTCTCGGATGAAAATCATATATCTCTACACTTTTATGATACGGTAACATTTTAATGTTTTAATTTAATTTAAATTATTAGTAATATTTAGTTGATTTATTTAATGCATGATTATTAGATTAAGAATTAAATATCTCGACACTTTGTTGATACTGTAACATTTTAATGTTTTAATTTAATTTAAATTATTTGTAATAATTAGTTGATTTATTTAATGCATGATTATTAGATTAAGAATTAATTTTTGTAATTATTTATTTTTAGGAGAAGGACCGTGTATTAGATCATTTTATTAGGAATCTTAAGTTAGTGATACCCAGCCGTGTCTTGCTGTATTTAGTAGAGGCTGGATTTAGTTACATAGGTAGATATCATGGTCACTGTAAGATAGTCAGACCTGATTTCTGCCTTAGTAGAGCGGTGGAGGCCGGAGACCCACACATTCCATCTTCCGTGTGGAGAGTGCACGATCACGCTTGAGGATGTTTCTATGCACCTGGGGCTTCCGGTGGATGGAGAAGTGATATCGGGGATAGCTTCCGGTTCTTGGACTACTTTGTGTCGGGATAGTCTAGGACGTGTCCCGGAAAATTTTATCGGATGTATGATACTGTTAAATTGGTTAGATGTCAATTTTCGGGAGTTGAGCGCAGACGCCTCTGAGGATGAGGTTAAGATGTATGCACGGGCATGCATACTGCAACTGATAGGAGGGTTGTTGATGCCGGACAAATCGCGCAACCTAGTTCACTGCATGTGGTTGCGACATCTTAGCGACTTTCGTCTCGCCGGATCATTCAGTTAGAGCTCGGTAGTTTTGGCTTTGCTGTACAGGGAGATGTGTGGAGCCACTGACTACAGGTGTAATGCTATCGGCGGATGTCTCCTGCTGCTGCAATCTTGGGCATGGTATCGATTGCCCTTTTTATGTCCCGTTGTGAAGAACCCATTCGTATTTCCACTACTTCTGAGGTAATTATAAATCTGATTTTATATATTAATAATTTTATACAGCGTATAACAATTTTTTTTCCTTGAATAGGTGGTCTACTGATAGGAAAAATCATCAGGAGCTACCTGATCAACTTGTTCAGCCAACTCATAGTGTGAGCTTAAAGATTGACCCCGAACAGCACGCACTTGAACAAAATGTGCATACATCTCAATAGCGGCGTCTGAATAATTACTTTGAGCTTCAACCATCATTTGAACATCATCATTGTTCGAAAGTTCGAACGCTGTATAAGTTAATGACAATAATGATGTTGGAAATTTGTACTGCAACGACGACATTCTTCTGTTATTTTCAACATGAATCTTCCTCGAAATCTTCGTTATCAGCTCCTCAAGAGTTATGTTTCTCTTGAATGATATTTTAACACGCTCATTTGATACGAAAACAACGCCGGTTTCATCTTCTCGAATTTCACCATCATAATAAACAATAGCTGAAAGTCGCGCAATTCTTTGAGTTTAAAAATGCAACAATATTATATCTGCAAAAAAAATAACTTAAACAAACCTTATTAAATAAATTATATATGAACGAAAATATAACACAAATTTTTTTTTACACATTAACGTAAATAATTTAAATAATATAATTTTATATTATTACCTGCACCACAAAACTATTTCGACGTATGCTCCCGCTTTTCAATTTTACAAACATAAAAATTAATTGAAAATAATTAGTATAATATTTTTTCAAATAATGATAATAAACAATAAGTATAATTAAAAATTTATAACAAAATTACCTTATAACGAAAAATCGCACGACGGAATTGTTGTATTAATTTATAAGTTGAGAGGAGAGATGCGAGGAGATGTGAGAAACTTAACCGGCAGAGGAGGGTATTTATAACTATATAAGGCGCGGTACCTGCACCGCGCTATATGTAATTATTCAGATAAAAGATATAGCGCGGTACCTGCACCGCGTTAAATATAATTTTGGTACGGCGTATAGCGCAACCCCTGATCCTCGCTATACCCCTACATGGCGTATAGCGCGGAGCAGGAGGCGCGCTATACCCCACGTGTAACTTAGTCAGCTTATAGCGCGGTACAGGGGGCGCGCTATACTCCACGTGGCGCCAAATCAACATATAGCGCGGTTCAAGGGATGCGCTTTACTGCTATGGGTGTTAGATCAAAAAATATAATATGATCGGTGTTAGATCGATATATATACCGATAACCGGTGATTTTTGGGGAAAATCACCCTTTTATTTCTCTCAATTTATTTCCTTTTATTACATTTACATTTTAAGCACATGAGTCTTTGTAATTACAACACTCCTGTTAGTATTAAGGATAAATTATTTATTTAGTACGGCATTTGTTTTTATATTTTTATTTTGGTCATTCATTATTTTCGACTAATTTTTTATTCTAATAATATTATTTGAAAAGCATTATGTGAGTTATTAATTAGGAGAGAGAATTAATGTGAACATTTTATTAAAAAATAAAAATATCATGTAAATATTATTATTGTTTTCTAACGACGTCATTTTCATTTCACACATGAAGTCCTTGTTTTAATCCTACTGTAATATTAATGCAGAAGAAAAACTGGTTCTCGACCTGCATTAACTGCTGTACCAAGCCATGATGCCCTATCAAGCAAGAGCTGTGGATATTTGGTGGCGAGTCTCTGGAAGCTACCATGTGGCTAAACCCCATCATGTAGAAGATATAATTCAAACCTTATTTTATTTCTTGTAATTTTAAACTTTGGGTTAAACTAAACCTTTATTTGTATAAATTACGAGGGATTGGCCTTGTAGATCTACTCTATGAGTGTGTATATAAGTGATTGGTAAAAAAAAATTAGCAAAAAAAAAATACTTAATTAAAGTTTCTTGCTAATCAAGTTTCTTTAAATTTCACTTAATATGTAATCTCCTAGTGCTACACAACTATGGATTTATCTTCTTCTACCACTAAATATTAACGTAGAGAGATACCTTGTATGGCCGTATTCGGATCCACCGTCAGGATAGGTCGGTAACTGAAATTCTCCACATCAACAATCCGAAACGTGAAAGAAAATGCTCTCTCTCGAAGATGAAGTTGATGGTTTTGCTTGTTTCGTTTGCGACGATGCAGTTGCTGTGCCGGCATATGAGAATCCATCGTGGTACCGTTTCCAAGCGTGTTCGGAGACGACCTGCAGCATCTCAAGAAAACAATAACAATTCTTTGAGTGAAGCTAGGATCACTCTCAAACTAGGTATTGAGAGCAGAGTCTCTCCAAGTAATGAACACAACATAGATTTGCTGAAAGACATGGGCTATCAAGATACCTCAATGGAGGGAGGTGCTGATAGTGAGAGCACAGTGGAGCTATTAGGCAATTGCGTGACGATGAAGAAGCTCGAAACTCAAAATAGTAACAAGTCCAACAAATCCAGGACCGGGCATGGAAGAAGATCAATGAAGGAGGCTATGGTGGTGAAAAGAGTGCACCAATGTGAGATATGCGGCAAGACTTTCGCAACGGGCCAGGCACTCGGTGGCCACAAAACACACCATCGGGTGAAACCGTGAATGATCCGGGGAAGGCGGAGTTAGTACAGGCAAAAACCAAACAAGAAAACATGTAAAGTTAAAAGAGTGTATCACCAGAATGCTGTTGTCTGAAGAAACTCATCCTAAGAAGCTGGATTTTGATCTTAATATCCCTTATCAGGAGTAATTTTTTCTGTTTCCATGACATTTTACCCCCCTTAGTTCTGATCTCCAAATAAGTCCTGCACTGATCTTACGTAAATCTGCCACATTTTGAAATAGTGTAGTAGCAGCTTCTTTTGTATTCAAAATGACAAAAATCAGAATGTTCCTAATAATTAGAAAAAGGCAAGTTTTATATATTCCTCGTATCATATTAAAGTTTTCTAGTTTTTCATTGGATTTTAAAGTGGTTTTGCTATTATAATTAAAGCTTTAGCGGGGTCATTCTTCAAACCAAGACAATAATAATTGCATAACTCTAATATCTTGTCCTTTTCAGCATTTAAAATGATGAGAAGAACCTAACCTATAAATAATATGAGCTTGATGGGAGACAGATATTCTCATGATTGTACATTTCTTTCACTGTCCATTTTGTTCGGATTCGGTTAAAGTATCACATATATCCAACCCTTTTATCCTCAACTATATGTATGGAATAAGAGTGCTTAAATGGACATAAAAAACAAAAATTAAATTATGGAATAATAATAGAAGCAAACACATATACATAAGAACAATTCGGCTTTGTTTCCAAAATGGGGAATATGACAGTCCATGCAGTCTTAGGCTTCAAGAATAAAGCTGAGGGCTAGAATCTCTTGCCATTCCTTTATAAGCACCGGCCCCCATGCCTTGACCTCACCAAAACAACATCCATTCACTTCTCTCTCGAGCCTAAAAGATGGTAATTCTAACTCATTTTTTCTTCCTTTAAGTTCCAGCATCAACATTCCCTCTATACTAAGCATTGCCTCTCTTTTTTATGTTTTCAAATTCAGGGTGGAAAGAAAGGTGGATTCAGAGCTTGTTCCTTTGTTTTCGGTAAGAAAAGGTCTTAGAATACATATCCCAGATCAGGTTTACAAACTTAACTTGATAAGCAAGTAATTAAATGAAGAACTCATTCATGTGTTCTTTTTTTTCCCCTTTCGATTTTGTAGTTCTTGGGGCACTTGAGAATATTGGGTTTGTTGCTAACATGGTTAGCATAGTTCTTTATTTCCATTACTTGTTGAGACTTGATATTCCAACTTCTTCAAATACTCTCACAAACTTCTTGGGATCAGCCTGCTTGCTTTCACTATTAGGAGGCTTCATTTCAGACACTTACTTGAACCGACTCTATACGATTTTGATATTCGGATCGTTGGAAGTAATAGTAAGTTTTCACTGGCAATTCAAGCACTTGATGTGATTAGTTTATTTCCTCAAACTGATTCAGCGAATCAATGCTTTTAATTTGGTTGCAGGGTCTGTCAATGGTCACCATCCAGGCTTATTCGAAAGACCTGCAACCAGATATTACTTGCCAGAAAGGTTGTGTCAAAGGTAAAGTAGCGGTGATGTTCTACGGCTCGCTTTTGATATTATCCATCGGTACAGGCGGAGTTAAGGGAGCACTTCCAGCACTTGGTGCTGACCAGTTTGATCACAAGGATCCGAAAGAAGCAAAGCAGCTTGGAAGCTATTTCAATTGGTACATGTTGAGCACCACTTTTGGTGCTATGGTCGGCGTCTCGTTCGTCGTTTGGGTTAGTATAAACGAAGCTTGGTACTGGGGTTTCTTCATGGGAACTATGGCTGCAATTGTTGGATTCATTGCAATTGGCCTCGGGAAGCCATTTTATCACTATCCACCTCTTGGGAACAGCCCTCTATTGAGAATAGCACAGGTTTCCCGTCTCTGTGCTATGCTTAAATCCATTACATGTTCTTTTATGTGACTCCTGATACAAGAATCAATTGTTTGATCGTTCAGGTTATCGTTGTCGCAGTCAAGAACAGACGATTGCAATTACCGGAAAACTCCGACGAACTTTTCGAGAGCAATGATAACGACGAACATCATTATGATGAAAAACTCCCTCATACAAATCAGTTCAGGTGAAACACCATGAACTTGCTATTGTTTCATGGAAACTGAATAAATAAAAAATCAAATACTCTTCTTGTGAGTAATCTAATACACTTTATGCTAATTAATGACTAAACCAGATTACTAGACAAGGCTGCCATTGACCCTCAAGAGATTTCTCCAGAGCCTTGGAAAGTTTGCACAGTGACACAAATTGAGGAAGTCAAGATTCTAACAAGGATGTTGCCCATCTTAGCCAGTACCATTATAATGAACACATGCTTGGCACAATTGCAAACATTCTCGGTGCACCAAGGGTCCTTAATGGATCCCGAAATTTTCGGGAAAAAATTCCCTTCGGCATCGATACCGGTGATTCCTCTAGTTTTCATGGCATTCCTAATACCAATTTATGAGTTTCTTGTCGTCCCTTTCGCTCGAAAAATCACCGGACATCCATCCGGTATCACGCAGCTTCAACGAGTCGGTGTCGGTCTTGTCCTCTCGATCATATCAATGGGCATCGCCGGCATAATCGAAGTTAAGAGGAGGGATCAGGCGATAAAAGATCCATCTAAACCTATTAGTCTATTCTGGCTATCCTTCCAATATGGAATATTTGGACTAGCAGACATGTTCTCCATGGTAGGACTAATGGAGTTCTTCTACAAGGAGGCTCCGTTGAGGATGAAATCTCTGTCTACGTCGTTCGCATGGCTATCGCTTTCGTTTGGGTACTTCTTGAGCGGCGCCTTCGTCGACGTTATAAATGCAGTCACCAAGAAGATTGCCCCGAGCAAGAAAGGGTGGGTAGAGGGTGATAAATTGGATGACAATAACTTGAACCTCTTCTATTGGTTCCTAGCTGCTCTTAGCACACTCAACTTCATTGTCTATCTGCTTTGTGCATCATGGTACAAGTACAAAGATGATACCACAGACTCCGAAGCCATGCCCGAAACAAGGGGCAGGGAGCAGATATGGTGAGTTAGTTATCAAAAACATAAGAATCTTTCAACTTATTTGTTGGATGAAAGGCGCTGATGAGGGAAATATTGACATTATAAACAATAACTACCATATAATATGTTTGTGATTTCTTGTCCTATTATTTCATTTGTATTGCTTAAGGTTATAAAGACGTATGTCGTCGCAGGCACGTGCAAATGTAATGCCAGACATTCTTGTACACCATAAATAGATTTTTGTATTATTCTTGAATTAATTTAATTATTTATTGCATGAACCAATTTATCTCAGTGGTTAAAGGAATCATTGTTGTTTAGAGGTCACGAGTTCGAGCATCAGTGACTACATCAGAATGATTGAGTGTTCATTGTCAAATGATTAAGAGTATTTAAAATAGATACTATTTTATAATCACATTGGCTTTATTAAAAAAAATTATTTACTTCAAGACTTGTTTGATTTGAGCATTAAGATTGAATCCCACCCAAAAAGGGATAGGTTGAGTAAACAAAATTCTGACAATTTTAGCCGAATACCATAAGGGGTTAATTATTTGACGTAATACGACACAAAAAAATTTATTTACAGATTTACTACATTTATTATAGTAACTTGGCACTCATCACGTCGAAGTAATAAGTTACAATAAAGAATATTTTTTATTCAAATTTTTACCTGATGTAATAAAATTATTGACGTATTAATTTTTTTTATTTTATAACGATGATAAAAAATTATTTTATGGTGACACATTAATATTATAACATCATATTATTAAATTATATTTTGACTAAAACCAATTTATGTGTTTTCTTTGTTTTAAAAAATTGATTGTCTAAATAATTAGTTCATTTTAATTTAGTAATTTATACATCATAAAAATCAAAGATAGTCATTTGATAGTTGATCATCATACAGGGGTTAGAGGGATGTAATTTTTTTTAATATTTATTAAATTCTATTTACATATATCATTACAATATTTTTCAGGTAGAAATTTTAAATTTTATTTTAATATTAATTGCTTATTTTGTCGTTAGATCATAGATCTACACGGCTATACTTAAGAGTTAAGATCATATCACGGTTAGACATAAATAAGATATTTATTATTTGGTTCAGTTTGATCCGATTCAAATTAAATCAAATAATAAAATATATTTTTATATAAATCATAAAAATATATAATTATTTTGGATAAATTGTCTTCCTATTCATTAAACTTTAATTTATTTATCAATTTAATCACTGAATTTTAAAAAAATTGAATTTTAACATTAAACTTTAAACATTGATTTTTTCTAGTTACTAGACCGTTAAATCGTCAACAACATAATGATTTGACCGATTCTTTCTCAATTTTCTATAAAAATCATCAACTCTTCTGATAATCATTGTTAATCAATCATCGCTTGTCATCAGTTGTTATTTACGACAAGATTGATACCAAAATAACTACATTTCACTCCTCATTCTTCTTCTCGTACTAATTTTTCATAAAATTCTTCCAAAATCGACAAAAAATCTATCTAAATGTTCAATATTGTTAAGTTATGATCTCCTTCAATAGTCGTCCAGTGAGAATAGTCTCGAGATTTGTTGTTTATCTTTTAAAAATAATACTTCTCACTATTCAAATCTTGAACAAATACTCCGAATGCATCAAATTTGAGAAAATCTGCAAAGCCAAAAATGATAAATTTCTTGTGTAGTTTCGTAAGTTTTAATGAGGTTCTAGAAAAATCTAAATTGATCAAATTATAAAAGATTATGAGATGAGTTTATTGATATCTATTGAAAGACATCATAAAAATGATGATTTTTATCGACGGGTGAAAATACTTTAATTTTCCTTGTCATGATGATGATGTTGAATAAAAAATTATGATTTTAAGGCTTATATAACAAATAACTACTTGAAGTATATCATTTTTTTCATTTAAGTATTTAAAGTATTTTTTTGTCAATATAAGTATTTAAAGTTATATTTTTTTGTCAAAATATGTAACTAAAGTATTCAATTTTTTTACCCGAATGCCTAAAGTATTCTTTAATTAATGACAAATTACAACTTTTTTAGAACTTAAACGAAAAAATTTGAATAATTTAAGTACCTATTTTGACATAAAATACTTTAGGTACTTATTTTAACTAAAAAGATAACCTTAAGTATTTATTTTTACTAAAAAATATTTTAGGTACTCTAATAAAAAAAATATATAGTATTTGTGATATAAGCCTATTTTTAACTTGTACGTCAATATATTAGCATCAAACATCATTTGGATGATAATTGATAACGATTTAATAGAAAAACTAATGTCAAATTTAATATTAAAATTAAAACGCTCTAAAATTCAATGACCAAATTAATGTATAAATGACAAATGAATTAGTTTACTCTTATTTTTATACATTAGTTAAAGTATCATAGTCCTAAACCTTTTGTTTTAAAACCGACGAACGGGGACAAAAATTCTAGTTTTGTTTTAGAAAGAGAGTAGAGTATCAAATACTAAACTCAAGCTTAAAAAATATTTGTTTCAAAGCTCCTTGTCAGCGGTCACCCTATATACATATTTATTCGAACCAAAGTCGGTGCAAACTTCTAATATGAATATTTTAATTTAACTCTTGATTGTAAACGATTTGAAAAGGATTAAGGGTCACGGTTACTTCTGTAGTAGATAAAATTTATCAATTTTTTTCATATCGTATTTTCATATCAATTTTGTCCTCGAAATTGTTTAATTTCATCAATATCTACTTTTGACTGTCTTGTCTAACAGAACCGTTAGTTTCTTCTGATATGGACGCTTTATCTCAGATAATTTTGCTACCCTGATTATGTGACAATAACAAAAAATATTATTATCTTTTAAATAAAAAAAATATCCTAATCCCTAATCAACTCTCTCATGCTCTCCCTCACCGAATCAAACCAAAGGTCACCGGACATAGCGCGACGGTGGCCATTACTCCCTCTGACCGTCGCAAGGAACTCCGAAGAAGCCCAAACGTTGACCTAGAACTCTCTAAACAGCCCAGCGGTGGCCGGACAAACCGAGACCCCAAATTAAACCTAAAGCACCTCCTTTTTCCTTTGAACCTTCGACGATCAGTGAATGAGCAACGACGAAGCAACGACGTTGGTTGGGTTTTTCTCATAATTTTACAAGGATCTCAGTTGAGCATGTGGTGAGGCAAACAGACAGTCGTGGTGGCCGGAAATTGCAAAAATCAGTTTCGGTGATAAGGTTTTTCGATGAAACTTTGATCGATGATTCACGACGAACGACGACGAGTTTTGACAAATGACCACCGAGATTATGGTTGGGACGAGGTAACACTTCCGATGGAGGGGGCGGTGACTAAGATCGAAGCTAATGAGACAAGCGATCTTTTATATTTTCACGATGGACGACAGTGATGATCTAACGATCAGGGTTTGGTCAGAGATGAAGCCGAAGCTAACGGTGGTGGCAGTGCAAGCCACGACCGGTCAAAGCAGGGGTGAATGACGATGGCGCGATAGAGGAATGACTCGAGAGTTTTTTTTCCTGGGATTAGGGAAAAATTGTTATTTAAAAATAATAATATTTTTTATTGCCACATCATCAGGCTGATATGTCAGAAAAATTATCTAAGTTGGAAATATATGGCGTCCACATCAGCAGAAACTAACAGTTCTATTAGTCAAGACTGTCAAAGATAGACATTGATGAAATTAAACAACTCCGAGAGTAAAATTGATGCAAAAATACGATAAAGACGAAATTGATAAATTTAATCTCCTACATGCCACCTTGACCCTTAAAGCCATTTTAAAAACATAAAACATACAACTATCTTTTAACTTCAACATCAAAAGCTTCAACGGTTGGATGATATATCCATCAATAATATATTTTAATTATCGATGTCAAGAACATCTCAACAAACTTAATATTGTTTTATTTTTAGGATAAACTGCATCCTTAGTCATTAAATTTTAGCTCATACATCAATTTTATAACTGAACTTCAAAATATTTAATTTTATCATTAAATTTTATTTTGTGTTTTAATTAGATAACTGTACCGTTACATTCAATACAACGTGATGATAGTTGAGACGATCCAACGACATGAAAAGTATATCAAAGCTTAGAAGAGTCGAAAACTTGAAAAGGTATTTTAAGCATTTGAGAAGGTTTCAGAGAACTAGGTCAAGTGATCGGTAGAAGGAAAAAAATGAAATATTCAATGATTAATGATTTAATTTATTCTTATTTTTAAGATTATTGTGGGTAGGGACGGCAAAATGATTGAGATAATGTAAGTGAGATTTTTTAAATTTTAATATAGTCCAACTTAAGGATTATTTTCTCATATAGGGTGAATTGAACAATACTAACCTAAAGATATCAAGTGTTCCAAGCATCTTCAAGCTAAATATGAAGACTCCACGACTGCATGGCGTCTTTATGAAAATGAAGAAAACTCCACGATTACATGACGTCTTCAGGTAAATTAAAAAGACCCTCAGAATACACGGCGTCTTTAGACTAATAAGAAGCCCGTCCAGCTCAGTTGGTAGAGCGCAATGCTCTTAACCTTGTGGTCGTGGGATCGAGTCCCACGGTGGGCAATTCATAATTGCCGGAGATCTTCCACGGAAGTTGCTCTCAACCTAGCGTTGGGGGCAACCTACTACCATACCTTCCCTTACCATATTACATATGGGAATAGGGTCAGCTAATTTTTATATGGGAAAATAATTTTTCCCACAACCGAGGAAGCCGGGTAGGAACATCAACAAACTTTGATAGGAAAAAAAAAATATTTGGTGAAATCAATGATATTAGGGTGAATAATTCAATGTTTGTGCGGTGGTTTAATTATTGTTCCAAATGCCAACCCGATCAATTTGGTTGCTCCTTTTATGGATCCATTCAAGATGACTTCTCAACGACTATATAAGACAAATAAATTATTAATACATAGCTTTCAGAATATTACTTTCATTTAATTTTAATTTTAATTTTAATTTTAATTTTAATTTATCCTACAAAATTCAACAAGCAACTTATTGCAGGTTTTCCCAAGTATAACCCTAATTAACTGCCCTATTTATTTATTATAATTATTAAATAAAGTTTTTAAAATTAAATATTTACCATATAATGAATTGAAGGGATCATAATCCATTGTCACGGTCTTTCAAGTATTAAGTGAATATAAATCAAATCCCAAATTTAATATGTAATTATAGATATAAATGTTATTTGAAATTAATTTTTAATATATATATATATATATATCAAAATTGTTAATAAATTTTTATAACATGGTATTAAAAATAGGGTAAACTACGCATTTAATATCTAAACTATAGTTTTGATTCGTTTTACTACCTAAACTTTCAACTTTTTCAACATCATACCTAAAGTTTATTTTTTTATTTTAGTACCCACATTTAATAACGCGTTTAGTACTTAAATTATCAATTTTAGTTTGTTTTAGTACCTAAACTTTAAAAAAATTTAAAAATTAACATTTAATTTTGAATTGAGATACTAAAGTGAAACAAACACTAAACTTTATGTATGATTTTAAAAAAAATAAAATTTTAAATACTAAAACGGACCAAAATTGATAATTTAAATACTTAATGTATAATTTACCCTTAAAAATACGATGACCAAAATGTTTTTTTTTATCTTCTTCATCACACTCATCTTCTCATGCTTTTATGGGAGTTGATTATTCAAGTTTTGGGTAATCGGTTGGTAATTATTCCTTTCTTATCACTTACTCAGCTGTTCACGAAAACATAAGTTGAATCTCTCAATTTAATGGGTTATTGGAACCCTAAACAAATAAATAAAGGGAAACCATTACAGTAATTCCATGCAAAAGGCAAGGCTATCTCAACTCTGGCTTATTCCATAGCTTTCAAAGTCTTCACAGAAAAGCATTTACTGACCTCAACTCTGGCTTATTCCATAGCTTTCAAAGTCTTCACAGAAAAGCATTTACTGAAACCCAAGAAATATGGGACATAGCTCTGTTTATCACAAGGCTTCAGTTGTGCAATTCTTCACCATTGTCTCATGTCTTCTGGTTCTGTCGTTTCCAGGGTCCGTCGATGCTTACAAGAACTACACAGTTGGTGATTCCCTTGGCTGGTTTGATACCCTCGAAAAGCCTGACGTTGATTACCGGAAATGGGCTGATTCCAACAAGTTTAGCTTGGGAGATTTCCTCAGTAAGTCCTTTTTATGTCATGTGATGAAAAATCTATGGATTTTTGGTATATATCTATTAATGGAAGAAAATGATTTCAACCCAGACATGGAAATGTTTTTTATTTCATTTAACAGTCTTCAGTACGGATAACAACCATTCGATAATCCAAACGTACAATATCACCACGTACAATCTCTGCGATTACGATGACGCTCTCCCAAACGACACGATCCAATGGTCGGCGGCGGATCCGTCGTCCACGGCTCCTCATCCAATCTCGGTAGCGGTCCCTCTACTGAAAGAAAGGGTGACCTATTTCTTCTCCGGTGATTACGACGGCGAGCAATGCAACAACGGTCAGCGGTTCAAGGTAAACGTGACGCACGGCCGAGGGTTGCCCAAGAGCTTACAAGATCCACCTGATGATGCGCCGGCGCCCAACAGTCCTGATTTCGAGAGCGATGATTCCGTCCCGGAGACCATCGTGCCGGCGAACTTCGATCACCCCATTGGAGAGGATAGCGATAAGGATGAAGCGTCTGGTTCTGGATCCATTTCTTTTGACCCCAGATTCAATGGCTTCCTAGTGTCGTTACAAATTGTTTGCATAATGTCGATGCTTTGATTTTCTTTCTTTATATTCTTTCCTTCATACGATTTTAGTAGTGATCTGCGAGTGTACGAGTGCTTAGGATTTGGTATATTTAGTTCTTGTAAAATAACAAAAACAGTAATTTAATAAAAATAATTAGTATCATATTAATTTTTTAATATATTATTTTCTTATAAGTCCCTAATAACTTTTAAAATTATCTACAACTCCTCAAACTTCTATATTTTTATACAAATTGAAACTACTTATTATCCGTCAAATATTTAAATGGGATATTATTACATCTATTTTATTAAATAGTTTCAATAATAAAAAAATATTTTTTAAATATTCAAGTTTAAATAATTATATCTATATTATATGCTCATATTATCATAAATAATTTAAAATATAATTCATAACTTACAATTATATAATACAATTATTTATATCACAATTGTATAGTCAATAGATAAAACTCATTACCATCACATGTACGAACAAGACGGCCTCGTCTGTATTTAATTGATTGAGAATCTTTAAATAAATATTTAAATATATATTACCTGAATTTATCCCAAAATTATCATTTTTGATTTTTTTTTTCATTTTTATGCAAAACTAAGAATGAGTAATCATTACTCCTTGGTATCAATTATTAATTATTATAATTGTTTTCATGTATTCGTAAAATCATTTTCATTTTCATGTATTTGTAATTTCTTTTAATGTTTTCTTACAATGAACCATGGGAATTATCAATGCTTTCCAAACATGGAAAACAATTGGAACAATCATGGCTGTTTAATCCTACAAAAGAATGAAGATATTGGAGCAAAACAAGAACATTCAAAGCAACATGGAACAAAACAGATCGAATACTTTTAAACTTGGAGACATGGGGGACTTGAATGTTCAATTCACTTCTGTCATGTTCACTTTTCCAGACATCATCTTCCAGACAGCTCGAAAGGCTTTTGTAGAACTGCAGACAAAAAAAAACCTTTAATCGCCAGCAAATTATAATCTCAGCAATAAGCAGATGAATCAACTGCAACTCATGTATGTTGCTATGGATATTTAAAGACCAGAAAACAGGTTTCTATGAGCTATTGTTAAAATTCTGATACTTAGTTTGAGCAAGCACATTAGACCATCTGTGTTTAACATCCTATACTTCGATCTCATTGATCCCGACAATGATTGTTTGACATTATCGAGATTTAATATGCTTTGTGTTGCTCAAGAACACTCAACTCGAATAAATTCATAGAGATGATCCAAGGATTAATATAGAACCAGAACTTGGAACATACTGTCCACATTTGATCAACTTCATTTCCAGAGCAAAACTGTAGTTCCACTTCGGTCGGCAACGAGCAATCAAATCAACATAACTCTAATCGCTAGCTTGTCCAAATCGGAAAAAAACAATACGATATATCTAGAAAATGCAATGGAATTATAAGGATAGAGGAGTTGCAGGGTACCGTATTGAACTCCAATGTGTCCCCCTTCGCTTTTCGAACCTCAACCATATGCAAACAGGGTGCCGCTTGAAATATCTGGTTGACAAACTAAACAGTTTGATCAGTACAAAATATAAGCCAAGATATCACTTTAAGTTAGGTTACCTCAGTGGCGACGTTAAGGTTCCCTTTTCTTCCTGCTTTCAGATTCTCGAGTCTCATCTATATAAAACAATACAACACAAAGATATTATATATATATATATAATTCGATAATTACCTTCATTATATAGTGTTTAAGGTTTGTTCACCTTGTGTTTTTCCTGAGGACATCAAACCCCAGAGGCTTTGCCGCTTCTTCTATTTTATGAATAATCTCATTAGCAGGACATTTAGATGTAAACCTTGTTTATTTCTTAAATCCCTGCAGAAAATAGAATCGCCAACGGTTAGTTTAAGTACAAAACTCGATTTTCTAAATTATTACAATCTTCCTCGAGCAAAGGAATATGTTTGCTCTGAAATCAACCAATTTTTCGACAACCAATCTCGTTTTAGTTTATCATCCGAAACCTTGAAGACCTATTGATCCAAAATTAGAAACACTTGATACTTCCATAACCCAACTGTTAATTCAGGGCCAGATTGTTATCGATTTTGATAGCCTATCATACTGTGGATTTCAGATTTCTGTTATGATGACATAAAAGTCGTGCAAAGGAAAGGTAACCCCGGGGTTTGATAGGTCATATAAGAAAATGAAGTCGAGAAAACGAAAAACCTCTTAATATACATACCTCTTCTGCATCATTCCTGAGGTTTAACCCTTTTGACATAGAAATTAACTCGAAAGCGTTCATGGCTGTTGGTTGTTCTTCTCTCTTTTCTGTCACATGGTGCTCCTCTTACATGATCAACACTTCGAACTTATTAAGATAAAAACGTAAAACAACAACAATAAAACCCTATTTCCATATGCAATGGGATAGGGGAGGTAGGGTAGTAGGCTGCCCCCAACGCCAGGTTAAGAACAGCTTATGTGGAAGACCTCCGACAGTCAAAAAATTAAAAATAAAGATAAAATGCAATGCAAATATAAATAAGTAAATAAATACATCGTTGAACAATCTTCATATGCAGTCTTCATATGAACGTATATAATGGGAAGTAATCCCTGCAAATAAATCCCTGCGTAAAAATCTCTGCATATAGACAGAAACGTAAGATCCGGCTAAATTTAAAAAGAGGAAAACTGAAGAGAATGATACACAGAAGTCAACGATAGCAAGCTACGAGAAGGTATAAAGTCAAATAGATTAAAACCTAAACTAAGGCAACACTACTTCGCTACCCTAGTTCTAAGCCTTCATAAATTCTAATAACAGAAATGTATAAAAAATAGAAGTCATGGAAATTACTACAAAGGCATTAGAAAGAAGACAGAGATGTTACACTCTATGGTTGTGACCCGCACTACTCGGCTACCCTGGTCTTAAGTCTCCATACTTTCCTATTAGAGGTCATGTCCTCGGTAAGAGCTAAATCCTTCAAATCAGGTCTCAAGCAGTCTTCCCACTTCCGCCTTGGTCGTCCTCTCCTTCTGGCACCGTCGACTGTAATCGACTCTACTCTCCTGACCGCATCCGACGGTTTTCGCCTAAGGACATGCCCAAACCACCGTAGTCTTCCCTCCCTCAATTTTTCGGATACATGCACCACCCCCAAGGACATCCTAATAGCAGAGTTTGGTGTCATATCCCACAGAGTCCTACCATATGCCCATCGAAGCATTCTCATTTCTGCGGCCTCCATCCTCCTTACGTGATCCTTTTTGATTGCCCAACATTCTGATCCATACAGCAGCGCTGGTCTTATTGTCATTCTATAAAATTTTTCCTTAAGTTTTAGAGGCACCTTCTTGTCACACAAAACTCCAGTAGTAGCCCTCTACTTTAGCCATCCCGCCTTTATACGGTGTGTAACGTCATCATCTACACCTCCATCTTTATGTATCATAGACTCTAGATACTTGAAACAATCCTTTGAGGGGAGAACATGTCCTTCGATGGATACTTCTACATCTTCATCGTTTTGGTTCCCACTGAAGTTTGAAAATAAATATTGTCTTTTCAATATTGATCCTTAAACTTTTTTCTTCTAAAATAGTCTTCCAGGTAGCCAGTCTACTATTCAGCTTAGTTTTTGTTTTAGCAACTAGGACAATGTCGTCAGCGAAAAGCATACACCATGGAACACCGTCTGGTGTCGCACAATAGATGTCGTCCATAATCAAGGCGAAGATGTAAGGACTAAGAGCCGACCCCAGGTGGAGTCTGATTTCCACCGGGAATGCCTCGGTGTCGCCAACTGTAGTCCTGACGTATGTAGTAGATCTACAGTACATATCACGAATCGCCCGGATATAAGCAGTTGGAATCCATCTTGTTTCCAAGGTCTTCCAGATCGTTTCACGGGGAACGCTATCATAAGCCTTCTCAAGGTCAATGAACGCCATGTGAAGATCTCTATTTTTTTCCCTATATTTATCCATAAGCTGTCGAAGTAGATGAATCGCCTCCGTAGTAGACCTGCCTGGCATAAAGCCAAATTAGTTTTCCGAAACCCTAGTAACTTGTCTCAACCTTAGTAACCTGTCTCAACCTAGCCTCTATCACCCTTTCTCATAGCTTCATGGTATGGTTGAGTAGTTTAATACCTCTGTAGTTTCCACAACGTTGGGGATCGCCTTTATTCTTATAGATTGGAATCACCGTAGACTCTCTCTACTCCTCTTACATCTTGGCAGTCTCTAAAATAATATTAAAGATGTTAGTCAACTACTTAACTCTCTCATCTCCTAGTGCCAACCACACAGTGATAGGAATTTGATATGTACCGACAGCTTTGTCCCTCCCCATCTTTCTAAGAGCCATTTGACTTCCTCAAACCCAATCTTACTTGTAGGGCAGTCATTGGTCGTAGTATGATGGTCGGCTGACCCATCAACGATACTATCTCTACAGGGAGAGGCATCGTCATTAAATAAATCAAAGAAGTAACTACCAAAACCCTATTAATAACATGATCTTTCACTAAAAGAACACCATTGTTGTCCTTAATAAACCTAATTCTACCTAGATCCTTTTTCCTATTTTCCCTGGATTTTGCAAGCATGACGATGCCATTTTTTCCTTCCTTGGTGTCTAATCTCTTGCACATTTCCTCGTATGCCTTATCCTTTGCTTTAGCCACTGTTTTCTTGGTTTCCTGCTTTGCCTCCTTGTATCTTTGTTTAGCTCTCGATCTTTCTTCGTCGTCATTGCATTGTAGAAACTTCTTGAAGCAGGTTTGCTTTGTCTTCACCTTAGTTTGAACTTCGTCGTTCCACCACCACGATTCTTTATGTTCCTTGACCTTCCCTGTCGACAACCTAAGGGTGTTTTTGCCCACCTCTCTGATTGAATTTGTCATATTTTTCCATAAACATATATGCATTATTTGAGTTTGTAGTTCCAAAACCTGTAATAGACAAAACCTTACTCCTAAAGTCATCAGCTGTCGCTCCATGTAAGTTCTTCCAAAGAATCCTAGGTTTACCAAGTTTAGCCCTCCTATGAGTGTTTCGCCCGTGGAGTACACGGAACACCAAAACCAACAATTTGTGTTGTGATGCACATGCCTCTTCAGGGAATACCTTACAGTCAATGCAAGCCCATCGATCCCGATTTCGAACCAGGATGTAATCGATTTGGGTACAATGTCCCCCGCTATGGAACGTAATCAAGTTCACATCTCTCTTGTTAAAGGAGTTAGTGATCACCATATCGTGTGCAGTAGCAAATTAAAGCAACGTTCGCCCCTCCTCATTCCTACTATCAAAACCGAAACCCCCATGAACACTGTCATACCCGTCGATTGCACTACCTATATGGTCATTGAAGTCTCCCCCTATGAAAACTCTTTGGTCATCCGAAATGCTCCTAAGTACATCATCTAACTGATCCCAGAAGCAACGTTTCTCCCCCTCACCTAGGCCAACGTGTGGGGCGTACACTGAAAGGACATTCACCAGAAACAACACCTTCTACAGTATTTGATGTCGAGATTATTCTATAACTTGGAGAAAGATCGCATCAACTTACTTCATAATCCTTAAAAACAGCTTCAACGTCATCTAAATTTGTATCATCTTTCTCCTCAAAAACAGGAGGCCTGTAATCCTTTTTAAACCATTCATCCTTCAAAAATTCAGGAATTGTAATGCGCTGCAACATAAGAAAGAGATATGTAGGCATTAGTATCAAACCAAGCGGAAATGAATACAGAAAAGCAAGACAAAAATTTGTGAAGGAAAATAATTTCCTAACATTAAAGGCCAACATAAAAAATAAATATGCATGACAACATGCAAGCATCAAAACTTCACTTTAGCAAATGTTCCTTCCCAGTTCCCCAAGAGTCCTTCCCATCTCATATTTACCCACTCGACGCTTAATTTTAGTTCGATTCATCCCGCTAACAGCTTGAATTCACCTTTTGCAAGCTTCGAAATCTTGTTCCTGAGAAAAATATCATCGCATAAATCCCAGACCAGCATCTTCGTCACTCAATTTTACAGCTTTACATAGCATCAATCATAAAAGAAAGGGTTAAAACATCAAAACATGAAGCAAAAAGAATGTTAGAGAGTGAATATTCAATTTGGACATTCGGTGGGAATTCAAGAATTACCCAGAAAAGCATGAACTATCCCCAACTGTCATGAACTGTCAAGGAAGATAGATCAAAGTCTAAAGCTTTTAGCGGATTTAAGAAATTTAAGAATTACCCAGAAAAGTAAATTAAATTCGGAGCTGGAACTGATTTCACGGAGTATGAACTAAGGCCTATAAGGGTCAAGAAACATCAGCCAGCGGTCAAAATTGAATCCCTTTCGTACGAAAACGTACAAGCTTCAAAGCAAACTCAATAACGGCACTACAAAGTAGAAAGCCTGGAATTTCAAAAAATATATACCATTACCAAGAGCAACTAAATAATAAAATAATATGTAAACATACTATGATTGAAAGAATGAAAATGATTGGAAGAGGGCGAAAACGGGGATATACTTGAAAGTCTGGATAAGAAAGAAGAAAGTGCAGGAAAGAATTATGGGGAAAGTGTACCAAAAAAAAAAGAATTATGGGGAAAGAGATGGCCTTTGAGTTGGTTCAAGAGCTTAAATAAAAGACTCGAAGAAACATCATAGGAGGAAGAATGGGATGCGTAAGACAAACTAATATAAGGGTAAGAAAATGTTATACTTAATAAGAATAAGTTGATCCTTGAGACTATATAACCAGACAAACTTTTGCCACCTGCTACTTTTTCTTTAACTAAATTGACTAACCCGGATTATCAATAATTCAACAACTATGAAAAATAGCTACCAAGAATATATTTTTACCTAAATAAAACTATTTATTAAATTGGCGCCGAAATCAATTGACTATTGAAATAAGCATTCATACAAAACTGCATTAAGAAATTTGTCTAAACAATGGATCGAGTTTGCCAAGCATGCAATGCGTTGTTCATGTGTCTCATTACGACGGCTGCAGCCCTGCTTTATTTGAACAAGTCTCTTACTTTTAGCTATTGCCATAAGTCTCTTGCAGTTGGTAGATAGTATGTTAGCAAATTTGCCTTTCCATTCAACCCCCTTTTCATTTAAAACCTTGTCATAAGTCTCCTTTAAGTTTCAACAATGAAATTAAAGTATACTCTCATTGTTTGTTTGCTAAAAAAGACCTTAAATTTAATATCAATTACTTCATAAAGTTGATAGATTTGTTTTTAATGTGAAAAATTAAAAACCATGTAATTAAAAAACAAGTACTTTTTATGCTCTTACATTCTTACATTTGTATTTTAATATTATTTGGGATGGGCGAGATTTGAAAGTAAAGAAAGGATCAGTGCGTGCATTTGTGTGCTGTAAAGTCAATAGTCAAAATACCTTTTTTTTAATTTTTTTAATCTTTTTTTGGGGGTAAAGGCTTTCTAAAAGCTTGCATCCAACCTAAGCTTGAAACCTTCAACATCTTCCATTGACTATTTCCATTTCAGGAGCCTCTCTTTCAATGGTAAATTTTGACTTTTTGGATTTTTCTTGTCCTTACTATATTTTTTTCTTCCACCCTTTTCATGGGTTATCGTCTTCGTTGAGAACCACTATAATTATATGATTTGACCATCTTCTTTATGTGATCTGATCCACTACCATGGGGATTTGTTGGCCGAAACCTGCAAAGTGCGCTCATGTTTCTTCCACTAACCTTTCAGGTCAGATGAATTTCTTAATAACATTTTGTTATTTTCTTTTTGGTTATTTGTATTATGGATTCAGTGGTTTGGGTTCTTCTTGCGTTGACCCAGGAACTATTTTGCAGTTTTTGTTTGAAAGAGGGAAGTTCACTGAGCAATGGGTTTAGAATTAGATGGCTAATTGGCTACTTACACAATTGGCTTTCTGCTGGTCGCTTAATTAGAGTGGGGATTGTTATTAGGCAAATTTGCTTCTAAGCTTAAATTCACTTGGTTTATAATGGATTAATCCCATTTAATTTCTTGATGGAGTCATCAATTCTCAGTAGTAATTGATCTGAATCTTGCAAAGGGGTTCAGCAGTTGTGTTTTAAGCAACTAGCAATGAATTATGAGCACAATTGAGAGTTTTATCGATAAGCAGTGCAGTTTTGATATGGTTTAGAGGGCAATAAATTTATGGCTTCTGCTGTTTGTTATTTTAGGTGATTCAAAGATTCATAGTAAGATAAAGCCGGAATCAATATCTTCCACCAAGAAATCATCTCACCAAAATTCGAACAAGCAATTTGTAGCAGATAAATCTTATGCACGAGTTTCCAGCAATCTCAAAGTTGATACATCTGTTTCTAGCAACCTCAAGTCTTTCAGCTTTTCTGATCTTAAAAATGCCTCCAAAAACTTCCGGTCAGAAATCGGAGAGGGTGGATTTGGATGGGTTTTCAAAGGTTGGATTGATGAGAACACTTTTGCTCCTACCAAGCCGGGAACTGGAATTGTCGTGGCTATAAAAAAACTCAAAGAAGAAAGCTTTCAAGGCCACAGGGAATGGCTTGTGTGTACTCTTTTCTTTACAAGTTTTATTTCCTATTTTCCAGGTTTTCTTTCTTTTAGATATTTTTTTCCAGTTAATATGTGAAACTGATTCCATTCTGACACACTTGTAGGCTGAAGTTAACTATTTGGGTCAGCTTCACCATGAAAATCTTGTGAAACTCATTGGTTATTGTGCTGAGTCTGAGAATAGGCTTTTGGTTTATGAGTTTATGCCAAAGGGAAGTTTGGAGAATCATTTGTTTAGAAGTAAGCATGTCTCTTTCTGCAGATTTTGCTCATTCGTTTTCCCCTTTATCTTCTTCTTATGAGTCTGGTTGTCTTCTATTCACAGAGGCCTTATTCAGGGCTGCTGTAGTGATACAGTTTGACTAACCGTGATTGTTTTCTTCTTTCAGAAGGTGTTCAACCAATTTCCTGGGCTACACGAATGCACATCGCTAGGGGCGTTGCACGGGGATTGTCCTATTTACATAGTTTAAATGCTAATGTAATCTACCGTGATTTGAAGGCCTCTAACATTCTTCTCGATTCGGTATGCTGATGCCTCAGAAATTCCGACTTGTCATTGAGTTGTATTACTCAGATCTTCCTGTTGCTAAAACTTTTAATTTAATGACCAATGCTGTTTCTGTTTAAACTCATGTAGGACTACAATGCAAAGCTTTCAGATTTTGGCTTGGCAAGAGATGGTCCAACTGGTGATAACACCCATGTCTCAACCAGAGTTATTGGGACTCAAGGTTATGCAGCTCCCGAATACGTTGCAACAGGTGCACATCACCTTTCTTATGAGTAATATCTGTTCTTTGACCATGTTACCATGCTACTTGGCATTGTTCATCTCATCCTCCTGAATTGTGTTTAACAAGTAAGTTCGGAAAACGGATCATATAGCATTACAAACAGAGGTTTGGAGCAATAGAACATGATACATATAATTCACTGGGAACATGATCGCAATAGCAACCGATTTATTTCACTCTTAAGGAAACTAAACTAAAAGAAAAAGTTTGGGAGGTGGAACTAATTGTATCTGCAGACTGCAATACAATCGCTATAGTAGAACAAAAAATTTCGGTCGAAAAATCGAAACAAGACTCTTTTTGTTGAGAAAGATCAAACTAGGCTTCGTAAATTTAGTTTTCTAATATTCTCAGAATTCTTCGGGTTGAAAGGTATAATGTTCATGAAAGAAAAAATTGGGAATAAACACCTTATTGGTACATCGATATGACATTTGTTTTCTTTGTATGTGGTTTTCAGTGAGGGGCTACCTATCCATCCTACTAACGGACAAGTTTAAACCTTGCAGGTCGTTTGACCCCAAAGAGTGATGTGTACAGCTTCGGTGTCGTACTCTTAGAGTTACTTTCGGGACGACGGGTAATGGATGACGAGGTAGCTGGTTTTTCCGAAGACACACTGGTTGACTGGGCAAAGCCCTTCCTAAGTGACAACAGGAAAATGCTAAGGATAATGGACACAAGGCTGGGGGGACAGTACTCTAAGAAAGGAGCACAAGCAGCTGCTGCTCTTGCATTGCAATGCTTACACTCAGATCCGAAGAACCGGCCTTCCATGGCCGATGTTCAGGTTTCATTGGAACGACTCCATGCAACAATGGATACACCAAGAACGCCACCTCAACAGTCACGAGAAAAGCTGGATTTCCATAGGATTAAGCATACAAATGGCCCTCGCAAGGCAAGAGTTCCAACTGCAAATTCACGTTGAAAAGTACTGTTTTTTGTTTTCTTTTACGAGACAGGTGCACATTTTAATTATTCGGAGGTTTATAAAATATTGTTCTTCTTTTCGATTCGAACAGTTGTATCTACGATGTGTCTCATTATCGAGAGGCTAAAAAACTTTCGAACAAATATTATCTTGTAATCACTTTAGATTAATTTAAAAATATTACTTGAAGGTTATTTTGATTCAAGTGGTTAAAATTTGAAACAGAAGACTAAATTCAATTATTAATTTCGAATAAAAGATTATTAAGTACCAATTTGAACCTGTAGCCAAATTTAAGTACCAAATTGTGTTAAGAAAACTATAAGTACTATTTTGAACTATAATACAAAGTGTAGATACCGAATTTCGTATTTACCCTAACTAAAATGCGAATATGCCATCCCAATTTGCGATTCTAGGGTTTTAGTTGCCTCACAATGCGACTCCGCCATATATATATATAACTCGTTACCATTTTCTCTTCTCTCTCCGTCTTCGCTTCTTTTTGGCTTAGATCCCTGCTACTCATCTCGCTCTTTTCTTCTTCTTCAATTGCCAAAAATGGCGGTCACTTTCTCAAACCTCCACACTGAGTCTGGTCTTAAATCCCTTAACGACTTCCTCTCTGGAAAATCTTACATATCCGGGTAAGCCCCCTATTTATCCTCTTAGTTTTCCCCTTAAACCCAATGATTATGTTCGAATCTGTGAAGTACTAATAATGAAATCTTTATGGGTTTTTTTGTTTTCTTTTTTCAGGAATAAGCTGACCAAGGATGACATAAAGGTTTATGCTGCTGTTTTGAAGAATCCTGGCGATTCTTTTCCCAATGTTAGCAAGTGGTATAATTCTGTTTCATCCCAACTTGCCACCAGGTAATGTTCCTTATTTATTTAATTTGTTGTTTTCGTGATACCCTTTGAAGGATAATAGTAATTTTCTTTGCTTTGTAAGATCTGCCTTTTGGAAATTTGATTGAATCTGAAGATTAAGTCTTATGGAAATTCACGTTGTTTTCAATTTGGTTTTAGCTTCCCTGGGAAAGCTGTAGGCGTTGGATTTGGTGGCAACGCTGCTCCAGCTGAATCTGCCAAAGCCAAGGTGTGTTTCAAGTTGATTTGTATGGACCTAATTCATAGTCATATTTTAAGTTGTAGTTTGATTGTTTCTTATACTTTGGTTGAGTGAAGTTCATCCGTTGTAGACAACAAAATGAAAACTATTGTTCAAAATTGCAGCATACAGATCAATAGAGTTAATTCAGTATCTTGATAATATGCAATTGGTTAATGGAATTGAGTATTTATGGGAAGATTGAATAGTTTATTAGCATTGGGATTCTCTCTAATATTCAGTTAAATCACATCTTGAATAAAAATACCAAAGTTTGCTTTTTTAAAGAAATTAGTCAATGCATGTAATCTATTAAAAAAATAAGATTCTTTTATGATTTGATTTTTTGATATTATGAATTTTTTGTATGTTATCCCGATTACTCTTTTAGGTCGTGTCTTGATTCACCCATGGTTCAGGTTTTGAAAGTTTGAATTCTCATTTTCCTTTGGCTTCCTCAAATATTCCCCAAGGGAGGAAAAACAATTTCCTTTGAAGTAGTGATAGTAGCTTCGAAGCTTATTGATTCCAAAATTGTGTAGTTAATTGTTTTTACCTGTTTTATGCCTTCAGGCTGCAGATGATGATGATGACTTGGACCTATTTGGTGATGAGACAGAGGAGGAAAAGAAGGCGGCAGAGGAGAGGGAATCCTCTAAAAAGTCAGCTAAGAAGAAAGAGAGTAAGTATTTGTGTTGGTTATAAAGTAATTTGAGCCTTCGTTTTCTTTTCATTTTAAGGATGCATCTTTGTGTCTTTTGACATCGGTTGATTCTTGCAGGTGGAAAATCTTCTGTTCTTTTGGATGTTAAACCATGGGATGATGAGACTGACATGAAGAAGTTGGAAGAAGCTGTTCGATCTGTCGAGATGCCTGGGCTTTTGTGGGGAGCATGTATGGTTTGGTTATATAATTTCTGTTAATCTTTTGCGCCTAAGTTACTTTGGACTCGTACAAGTATATTTAAGTCTTCGTATTAATGTTGCAACATGCTAGACATGGGTATTTTAGATGAACTGAAGAATCGAAGTAACTAGATGATATTTACATACAGAATACAGTGCCTATCCTAATGATCATATTTGTTTTGCATTATACTTGCAGCAAAGCTGGTTGCCGTTGGGTATGGCATTAAGAAGCTACAGATCATGCTTACTATAGTGGATGATCTTGTTTCGGTTGATACCCTTATAGAGGAGCACCTCACGGTGGAGCCACGCAACGAATACATTCAGAGCTGTGACATTGTTGCATTCAACAAAATTTAAAATCACACTGTTTAGTTCCAAAACTGTTAGACACTGCCATTTTTGGCAATGTTATCAACCTTTCCCCGTGCTTTCCCCTCTATAATGTTATATATTTTTGTTTTTGGGCTGTTCTTGCTACTGCTTAATGGATGAGGATGTTTCATGTTTTGATTTAGTTCCAGTTTGTTTTGGATCTCAACTTTGAATTTTATCCAAACCTAACTTCATTCGGTTAAAGGTTATGTAAAGACATTTTCAGTGAAGTGCAATTGTAACGAATCAATTCTTTTTAGTGTAGCAGAAAATACACGAATGAGCTCAGCTGATGAGCATAAAAACGGAAAGACAAGAATGCATTAAACGTCCTTGTACTTTTAAAAAAAATTAATGTTTTCCTCGTATTGTTTGCTTTTCTTTTAACGTTATTTTCTAACCTAAAAAACAAATTCAATATGATTTTTTATCAATATTTTTAGTATTTTAACCGTGATGATGTTGATATGGCAATTCATAGTGCCGATGTAGATGTTCACAGTATTAACGTGACAGTTTATATATCATGTTTAAATTATTAATTTAGTACATCTATCATGTTATCAATTATTGTGGACTATCAAGTTAACATCGTGAATTGTCATATCAATACTGTAAATTGTCACGATAACACTGTAATATTTAACGATGAAAAATATTAGTCAAAGTATCACATTAGACTTATTTTCTGAATGAAAATGTCACATTGAAAAAATAATAAAATAATATTTACTGTAACTTTTTTTAAAATATATAAATACCTCTGATACCTTTTTACCAGACGAAAAACTATGCACTGGAATTTTAGATATAATATCTATACGAAGGATAAACAGTGTATATAATTAAATTTTAGTTACGTCACCTGACTATAAATAAAAAATAATAGTAATATTTAGATTAAAAATATGTAACAAAAAAATAATATAGTAAATTTAATTTTCAACATTTATATATTTTTAAATTTAATCTCAATATAAAAAAAGAATTTGTAATATTTACCGAATCATGGTCTTTAATAAATATCATAAAACAACATTATCGACAAATATAATCCTTTTATTGACAAAGAAATCAGACAGAGTATAATCGGACAAAGTAATTTAAATGCAGAAATTGCAGGGACAGAAGAAATAACTCATTCCTGGTAAGGGATATTAAAATCAAGATCCAACATCAGGAGCTTGTTCAGACGGATGAGCATCTTCAAGCAATAATCCAGGCAACATCTATCATTCTTGTTTGGGTTTTGGCTGCACTAACTCCACCTTGGATGAATCCTTCACCCGATGGTAGGTTTTATGACCACCCAGTGCCTGACCAGTTGTGTAAGTCTTGCCACATATCTCACATTGATGCACACTTTTCATCACCTTAGCTTTCTTCATTCCACACTTGGATTTCGACTTTTTGCCAAACCTATCTATTGCCATGAAATCTCCCACTGGGCTCTCAGTACCATCGGCAATTCCCTCCGTTGAGGTCTCTTCAATCTTTCTCTTCTTCCTTGTTTCCATGTGACCGTGATAAACCCTCAAGGGCACTGCATCCTGAGTTACATCATCGTCATCGCTAGTAGTTTTCTTCAACCCTCTTTCTCCAGTACTTTGAGACCAGTTGTCGTCGTTCACTGTGCTCTCAATCCCTTTTTTGACGGTGGAGTTGCTCACAAACCCTTTAACAATCTTTCTCCAGTTTGAGACCAGTAGCGGTATTTTTGATTGCCGATGGGTTCTCGTATGCCGGCACAACAACTGCACCGACGTAAAACTTTCGTTGCAAACAAAACAACCGAACCCATCGTCTTCATCTTCTTCCGGAGAATTACGTTCTCTTCGACTGTCGATGTGGCGGGTTTCAAGTTTTGACCTAGCACCATACTGACTATGGATCCGAATATGGCCATACGATGCCTTGCTCGACTCAAACCCTTTGCCGCAATGTCTATATAATCTAAATCTTGATTCCTCATCAGGGGCTTCACCGCCTCCCTCCGTAACCTCAGTTTTGAGGGTGGTTTTCCGAACGGAGATAACAAAGGAAGCGGCGGCGGAATCACTGTCAGAGTCAGTCATCTCACTCGAATAGGTTGCGTGAAGCTCCTCCTCTTCTTCACGATCACACATAATAAAATATCAAACCAACGCAACCAAAAATAAAAAATAAAAAGACTCACAGCTGTGTGTATACCTATATACACTCTCGCTCTCTCTAAGTATATATTTCGAATTCTTGTATGCAGAAAATTCCTACAGTTCATCAATCAAAATTAGGTGTATGATACGATCGGTTTAGATTAATCAAAGCAAAACCTTAAAACATACGGCAACTAAAAAAAACTTGATTAGCAAGTAACTTTTAATCACGTATTTTGTTTGAAAACCTGACTTTGTTGTGGCCGTAAGAATCTTAATCACATGTAGAAAAGGGCAGTTTATATAATAAGATTGTGTTTTCCTAGTAGAAATAGGAACGAGGATAAATTGTTTTTAAACAACAAAAATAAGAATAAGGAGAAATTATACATGTCATCAATTTAAATATATATATGAATCCAATAAACAAAAATAATATATATCAATAATTAATTTTATACATGTCATCAATTTAAATCATCTTTATTTTTTTACCTTAAATATTAAACATGAAAAAATTATAATATTAACACAAATCAGTTGACCTTGGTAGTGATAGTGATGGTTGTTATCTCTAGAGATTCCGAATTTGAGCACGAACGACTGTTGATGTATGATTTTTATGCTAGAAGATAAACTTCTAAAATTTTAGAGGAAGACGGATTTATAAAATTTCAAAATACAAAAATATATTTTTAATAAAAAATGTATAAAAAACTAAAATATATATTAATTTTTAAATTTTCAGAGTGTAACTGCCCCACTTACCTCCTCAATCCATCTCTAAATATATTTCAATAAACCTATAAATATTAAGCACAAAAGGTATTATCTTAAGTTGTTAGATTAAGTATTTTCATGAAATTAATACTACATAACTTATGAAGCTTATTTGATATTCAGCTTCCTAACTGTTTACTTACCTCTGAGTCTATCCATTAGCACCAACAAAACAATTGAAAGCATTTAAAAATAAAAATCAGCCATGTTTTTTTCCTGACAGTTATAATGGTATTTGGTTCTTATATGATTAAATAATGTTTTGAGAATAAAATTTTGGAGAAATAAGAATGGTGTGTTAATGGATGGGAATTAAAATAAAATTATATGTAGTTATCATCTAGTCTGATAATGTTGTAAATAAAAAAATTAAATTAAAATTTTAAATTACTAATGTGTTAGGATTTTCGAAGCTCAATTTGGACAATCGAAAAATGTATAAGAGGGGGAATTGGAAAATATTGTTTAGGGAGTAAGAAGAAAGAAAAGATAGAGAAATTGGCACAACGATTTATAGTGGTTCTACTTCTCAACTAAGTCTACATCCACTACCTTAGCTCCTCACTAAGGATTTTCTAACAAATCCACTAATTTGTTCTTTCTTTTTCAAGGATCAAGAGTAACCTTTACAAACTCCCTAATTTTTCAATTGGCTAAACTAGAATCAATACCCCTTTACAAGGAAAAATGTGTAAACAAAGAAAACCACTAAAAAAAGGAAGGTGTTTACAAAATAAAGCTTACAAGAACAAAATATTTACAAGAGAATAGGAATAAAGAGTGAAAAGCTCTTCTCTTGTGTTTGATTACTTGGATAGGTGTTCTAACCCTTCTTCAAGTGTCGTGAACTTGTATTTATAAGTTGGAATGAAGTTGTGGTTATTTCTAGCCATTGGGAGTGATTTGGAGCCGTTGGGGATGTTTTTCTCTGTAAAATAAAATTGTCCAGTACAGAGGGTATCGATACTCCCTATAGGAGTATTGGCACTACCTTTTTTATTTTTAAATAAAACTAATTGTTACTAGCCGTTGGGTCTGACGATATCGATACTAAACCTATGGTATTTATACTACGATGTAAAGCAGTATCGGTACCCTTTAGGTATCAGTACCATTTTTGCATTATGAAATTTGAGCAATGTTGGTAGTATCGATTCTACCTAATGAGTATCGATACTTCCCTTACATTTGGTATCGGTACCCTATGAACAATATCAGTACTGTTCATGAGATATCGATACTGTAATAACAGTATCAGTACTTATTGTCCATAAAAGCATTTTGTGCTCAATTCCAAGTTAAATTGACTTTGAATTATTTTAGAAAAACTTTGAATAAATTTAATTAAAGCCCAAAAACATTTTGTCATAAATTGTTATATCAAAACATAGTTCAACATAATGAATATCATAATTTTAATTTCTCTAGCACACATTTTTCACCTTATAAGAATAATGTTTGAAAATTCTAATTTTAATCATTTAACTTTCATCCTTTTTATGTTTTAATCATAAATTTATAAAAAGTTGACACTCTGATCAATTCCCTGATTCATTATTCAATGTCCCTATTTTCCATTTTTTTCAAATTATTATTTTGTTCATTTAATTGGTATTTGATGATTTTAATCAATGCTGTTTAAATTTGAAACAAACGGCGCATTGCATTGGTCAACGTTGCATAATTTTCTTGTTGGTTCATCGATTTTATAAAACTAATTTACAAGTCAAATACGATCATGCGCACAAGATGTAGAGTATTTTATAAAAGACAAGAAATAAAAACGCAAGAAACTATAAAATTATAAAAGATGTAAAGTGTTCTTGCAACAATTTTACTGATAAAAGAAATCCAAGACCAGGACAAAGTAATGTAGACATATTAAACAAATCTCAAGAAAATTAAGGTTTTGGTTCAGTTTAACTTGAAGAAGTAAGTCATTCTTCTTGAGAAGGGATATTGAGATCAAAATCCAACATCTTCTTCGGCCGAGCTTGTTCATCATCTTCAGGCAATAATCCAGGGAACATAATTTTGGTGACACGCTCTTTAACTTCAGCACAGGATTCTTGTTTGGGTTTTGGCTGCACTAACGCCACCTTGGTCGGATCCTTCGCCCGATGGTACGTTTTGTGGCCACCGAGTGCCTGACCAGTTGTGAAAGTCTTGCCACATATCTCACAGGGATGCAGGCTATTCATCACCTTCGCTTTCTTCATCCGGGACCTGGGTTTGGACTTGTTGCCAAACCTATCTATTGCCGTTGAATTTCCCACTGGGCTCTCAGTACTTTCGGCAATTCCCTCCGTTGAGGTCTCTTCAGTCTTTCTCTTCTTCCTTGTTTCCGTGCGAGGAGGTGCGGGTCCGTAATATGCCCTCAAGGGCACTGCATCGTGCATTATATCGTCGTCGCTAGCAGTTTTCTTCAACCCCATTTCCCCAGTTTGAGACCAGCTGCGGTCGTTCTCTTTGACGGTGGTCTTAAATTTGCTTTCTAGAGACATTGTAGGATGCCGGACACCGTCGGAAAGCGTTTCACGATGGATTCTCATGTGCTGGCACAACAACTGCATCGATGAGAAACTTTTGTTGCAAACAAAACAACCAAAACCGTCATCTTCATCTTCGGCCGGAGAGGGTTTTCTTTGATTCTCGACGTGGCTGGTTTCAGTTTTTGACCTAGCCCGATACTGATCACTGTGGATCCGAAGATGGCCATACAGGGCTTTGTTCGACTCAAACCCTTTGCCGCAATATGTACAGAATCTGAATCTTGAATCTTGAGGGGCTTCACCGCCTCCCTCCATAACCCCAGACCCCGTTTTGTGCGTGGTTTTCAAATAGTTCCGAACGGAGACGACAAAGGAAGCGGCGGCGGAATCACTCTCAGTCTCAGAGTCAGACATCTCCCCACTCCGATCGGTTGGGTGAAGCTCCTTTTCTTCACGATCACACATAGTATGAAATACCAAAACAAACGATTAAAAAGAAAAAGAACACTGTGTGTACATATGTTATACACTCTCGCTCTCTACATATATAGTGGCAGAACACGATAAACCCTAGTCGGTGTAGGATTCAGGGATTATTTCCCTTACTAATAAAATTTAAAGAAAGCTTGATTTGCAAGTAACTGTTGATTAAGTGTTATCTTTGAAAACCTGACTTCGCTGTGACAGTGTTAATCTAGGATTGCGATTTCTAGTAGATATAGGAAATATGGAGAAACTATTTTTTTATATATATTCTATTATTTACGATGGGTTTTCAACTAATAAAAAAATATATATCATTAATTTTATACATTTCATCAATCTAAAACATTTTTATTTTGTTTACCCTAAATATTAAACACAACAACGTTAAAAAAAGTAATTTAAAGATTAAAATAGTAAAAATATATATGCTTATCTTAAGGAAGAAATATTCAAGTATCCAAAGCCAAAAAAATAACAATGATTAGGTACCCAATTGAATATTTTCCATTTAAGTCTAATAGGACTAAATGAAAAAAAAAACAATGTAAACAAAAAACTTTACACCCCAAATAAGCAGGATCCGTGGCGATATTGTAGCGCGTCTGATTCCAGAAAAGAAGGTTGCATGTTCGAGTTCAATGTTATATATATTTTTTTCGAAATAGGTTTGATTCTGGGTCCGGACTGCAAGTATTTTTTGGTAACGGCCCAAATGAAACCATTTGTGGTTTGGGTTTTTGATCAAGAGTAGGTTCATAATGTCTCACACAATTTACTTGCACTTGCATGTTTTACTGGTACTCCACCGCCAATTTCAGCGGCCTTCCTCGGCGGCAATCACCTTCAACTGCTCCACTCTTGGAATCTCAAAAAACTTTTATTATTTCGACTGTTAAAAAAACTTCATTTTACCACAATTCCTGGATCCTAGATCTTGGTATCTAACCAAAATCAGCCATTGTCACCACACACGGAGCTTTTTCTATAACTGTACAAAGAGACAGAGAAAGATCTGTGAATTCTCCAAATCATTTCCTATGATTCTAACCCCAAAAGAAAATGGGCCCTCCGAAGAAACGCTTCATCCCTTTCGTCAGCCTCCTTGCCTTTTGCATCCTCCTCCTTTACTCCCCTCATCCGAATTCCATCTCTACCTAAACACTTCCTCTAAATCCCCAGTCTATCGCCACCACCAGAGCCGCCTCCGTCACCCGATCCTTTTCCCTTTCTATCAAAGTCCTCACCTTTAACCGGCTCGAATCCCTCACCCGCTGCCACACCTCCCTTTCCAATGCCCACTACGACCCCGACCTCCCAGTGCACCTCCACATCTTCATCGACCATTTCCCTAACCAATCCAAATCCGACATCGACCTCAAACTTAATGAGTCCCTTGGAGTTCTGCGGTTTGTCGACGGGTCTGAGTGGAAATGGGGTCAAAAGATCTTTCATTACAGAACCGCCAATGTGGGTTTTCAGGCTCAATGGTTAGAAGCCTGGTGGCCTGCTTCTGATGATGAGTTCGCATTTGTTGTGGAAGATGATTTGGAGCTTTCTCCACTATATTTTAAGTATTTGAAAGCTTTGATCTTGAATTTTTATTACAATGATTCTAATTTTAGTCCTTCTGTTTATGGAGCTTCCCTTCAGCGACCAAGGTTTGTTCCAGGTATTTTTCATCTTCTTCTGGAGTTCCTTTTCTTTTTTGATAGTTTAGGTCGAACTCTTCCTTTTGCTTAGTTAGAAATGAATGATTGTTATTGTTTGATGAACAATTCTGAAGTTGCCTTTAATTTTAATCATATAAACTAGTTTAGTGATGATTGGATTTAGTTATTTGTTCGGTTTTAGAAGATTTAGTTTTTTAGTAGATGGTACTGCTTGTAAATTGCTAGGGTAATCAATCCACTGCTTGTAAATTGCCTTTGCTTTGTCGTCGCAAATGCGGCTATTCTGTAAGAAGAGATTCTTTAGAAAACATCATTATTTTCATATCCTATTCTAACCGTCAAAATAGCAAGATTATTGATCCAACTGCCACTAAACATGATCCTTTTTTCTTTCCTTTCTTTTAAAAATTTCTAAGTTCCTTCATTATTTGCTTGCTGCTCCAGGTAAACATGGGAACAAGATGCTACTGGATAGCACCACAGGACTTTTCTTCTACCAACTGGTTGGCACTTGGGGCCAGCTTCTCTTTCCAAAGCCTTGGAAAGAGTTTAGGTTGTGGTATGATGATCACAAGGTGAAAAACATCAAGCCATTTCTTGATGGGATGGTAAATTTATGTTGTTTTAGCTCTTTTATTCGTCTTCCCTTGTTCATGTATCTGGTGTTTATTTTTAATTTAATAAAATCTAAAAACTATATACAGGTTACCGCGGGTTGGTACAAAAAGATGGGAGAAAGAATATGGACTCCTTGGTTTATTAAATTTATTCATTCTCATGGCTATTTTAATATCTACACGAAGTTTCCAGATGAGAAATCACTTGGTGTCTCTCACAGGGATGTTGATGTTAACTATGGAAAAACAGCAGGGCCAGATTCTCAACTATTGGATGCAAATTCTTTTGATTCCCATTTTCGAGAAATGAAATCTTTGATTTCTATGAAGTGGTATGACTTCTGTTTCATGGGAAGTAGTTCCGGGAAGAATGGTAAGGCACTTGAATGATCTGGGTTCTATTCTTCCCTCTGTGCAGGCCAAGGGAACTGTTCTGCTTGTCAGCCTATTTGGGGTGTCGGAGACAGTTACTAGAAACCTTCTTTGCCACTTTGAGAGCCAAAATATTTGGGATTACATTTTCATCGGCCCTGCAACTGACTTTCTGTTTGATCTTGCTCGAAGGGCACATCCCGTGATTGATGCAGACCAATTTATCAACAGTATAAGATCATCTGAATCAGTGAGAATTCAAGAGTCAAATGATAAGTTTATGAAAAAGACTCTATTGAAGGCTTGTTTTGTCAAAAAAAGTTTAGAATTTGGTTATAATACTTGGGTTTTGGATGGAGACATGGTTTTTGTCAATAATGACCTGTTTCATGAGTCTATTGATCCGACAGACTTCTATGCAGGGGAGAGCTTGGACCTTTTCTTTGTCAAGAACTCACCTTCTACTCACAAAATTTGGACTGATGCTTTTCTGCATGATATTGCGGCTATGGTGGTTAAAGCTTCACTACCAAGAGATGGAAGAAATTTTGCATCTGTAATGACAAAACAATTGGAACAGAAGGGAATTAGATATAAGCGAATTGATGAGAAAAGCCTCGGCGTGAAACTCGGTAACCAAAATCTCAATCAAACGTCGGAGACCAATAAAAAGGTGGTTTACTGGGATAAAGAGTTGGACATGAATTCCATTCAGAAGCAGCTTCAAGAAATGAGTCTATGGGTCTTAGATAATGACTATTCCTGAAGAGCTGTAGTTTGTCACAAGTCATAACAGTTACAGAAATTTTCAAAAGCATTGCAGGGAATCAGTAGTTCGAGTACGGCAACACATTTGATCACTTTTGATGCATGTGCTATGAATCAATATCATGATGCTAAATGAGCTTTAAGAGATTATGCCTCGGCTGAAGGGGGTGAGATTGAACACATAAGAGTCTCTAGATTGGAATGTGTGTGAATTTTTTAAACTGAGAGAGCTTGGTTTTGAGGAGGCCAAGGCTGTTGGAATCTATTTTGAGTTCCCCAAACTCTTTGAAGCATATAATTGCTTCTTCCCGAATTTGGTTTTACGCTCTTCATTTCCTAGACCCTTTCTCCTTGCACCATATCATTTAACAATCTATTACATTGATGCATGTATACTTTACTATGTTGGCAATTAGACCGGGGTCCAAGACATTTCGAAGCCTGGATGTACTTCCTTTTCTATTGTACGGAGCCAGCTGGTTGGTGTCACTGCATGTCAGGACATGTTCAAAGATCACATGTATCTTTGTATATGGTTGTTTTCTTCATTCTAAACGAAATCAAAGGCCTTATTAAATGGAATTCCGCATAATTAATTGGATCCTACCTTCTCAAACTATATCATTCATTCTAAATTGATCTTTAAACTTTTAAATGTTTCAATTTCATTTAAGCTATGACTCATTTTGAATTGATCTCCAAGTTTTTCAGTACTCCAGTTTCGTTTTCAAACTAAGAACTTTGTTTTAAATTGGTCTTGAAACTTTTTAACATTCCAACTTTATCTTTAAACTATAGATATATTATAATCATATTTCTTGTCAATAAAATCATTAAAACATATTATTTGTAATGTAAACACTTATGTGTATTATGTAATAATTCATGTGACATATGGCAAATGAAATGTTTAAAAGTTTGTAGATCGATTTAGGATGAGAGTTGTAATTTTATGATGAAATGAAAGTATTCAAAATTTAGTAACCAACTTAAAATAAAAATCATAACTTAGGGACGTGTGCTACAATTAACTCGATTCCGCAAGCAGAAGAAAATGGTAATGAGAAGGTGGTTAGTTTAGCAACCACAAAAACCAGGTATTGGTATTTGACATGCTTATATGGTTTGATATTCACACCCGAAAATTAAACAACATGGAATATTAGAACTCACCTAATGGTTCTGCCGGTGTCCTTCACTTGGTGCAGACAGAAAAACAAAACAAAAATCCTGAATGTTTTCGAAAACAGGATGTGAGGACAAGAGAGCCCCGTCATGCGGTGGAATGGAACAAAACAATTAATGAATCCACCTTTCTTCAATTCATTGGTGCATAATTCATTAGTGATAAGTCCAGCCTTGTTGTTCGGGGGGGCTTGCCAATTGCCATTGCCAGCCGTGTTGGTCAGGCAATTTAGACATCGACTTGATGTTCTTTTGCCCTTTTTTGGAACCAGTTTAGGTATGAGACGTGAAGTGATAAGGGCTGATATCGCTAATATCAACTTCATATTACATAATAATAAATGTAAAACGAATTCATCAAGTAGTTTTAACGGTAAAAGAGAATGTTATTTTTCTTGACGGTTATAAGTTCAAATAGCTATATTTGTACGACGTGCGTGTTTAACATGATAATCTATATAGAATTGGAGTCAAACCCGCGTGATATATATATATATGTGTGTGTTTAGCGATTTAGAATGAGAAATAATTATGAATAAGAAAATAGAATGTTTATTCATTTGGGCTGAAGAGTTATTGAAAATGCGAATTCCTAGAGAAATAGATACAGTAACCGAAGAGTTGTATTCATTCATTCTATATAGAATTGGAGTCAAACCCGCGTTATATATATATATGTGTGTTTAGCGATTTAGAATGAGAAATAATTATGAATAAGAAAATAGAATGTTTATTCATTTGGGCTGAAGAGTTATTGAAAATGCGAATTCCTAGAGAAATAGATACAGTAACCGAAGAGTTGTATTCATTCATTCTATATAGAATTGGAGTCAAACCCGCGTTATATATATATATGTGTGTGTTTAGCGATTTAGAATGAGAAATAATTATGAATAAGAAAATAGAATGTTTATTCATTTGGGCCGAAGAGTTATTGAAAATGCGAATTCCTAGAGAAATAGATACAGTAACCGAAGAGTTGTATTCATTCATTAAAGAAGAATACAACAACGCCTTTGCCTTTGCCTATGTTTTATTTGTTCACTTTGGCGGTCTTCGGAACTCCCGCTAACCTTCCTGTCTCTCTACTCTTTACTCTACTGCTAGAACATCTTGGCTTGTTTTATCATGTATGTAAGTAATATCAATTGACCTCATATTATTATTCCATACTGTTAAAACAATAATATCAGTATTTAAATTTTGTTTAAACAGATTAGCATGGTCTGCTTACTAGAGAAAACTGTGAGCAAGGGCAGAAAATCCAAAGCAGGCTGGCTGTAAAACCCAAGTGCCTTTTGGCTTTTATGCATGGAATTAACTGCTTGTTACAAATAGGGTCTTTTTATTGACCAAAACCAAAAAAAGAACAATAAAAAGGGTGGTTGTTGCCGCCTTTAGCTTTACCCCCCATATTAAACTCCACAAACTTTGTTTTCGTCTTTGCCTTTGCTTCCTTCTTTATATTCTCCTTCCTAAATCATCTCTGCTCCCAGCTTCAATGGAAACACAGGAGAAGAAGAAGATCAGAAAAGCTGCCTGCGAACTTTATTTCCCTCTCTCTTATTCTTCACAGCCCAAGTATGTCTTGCTAACTTTGATTTCAGTATAGCTAGATTGTATTTGCTGAATCTGCCTGCCTGGCTCCCTGAATGCCATCTGAGAAGCTCGTCAAACACCGTTGGCAACTTCTTACATGGCATGAGGGGAGTCATGCAGGCTTATAATAAACACTCCCTGATTAAACCTTTTCTGCGTATTTGTGTGTTTGTTTGTTGGTGGTGATAGGGATGAGTTCGTATATAGGTTTTGTGTCTGGAATTGTTCATCTTGATCTGCATTGACTGAAGATAATTGTTGATGATAATGTTATTAGTTAGTTATGTGATTCAACCTTTGAATACAGATAAGAGTGTGTATATTATTTAGTAGGTGAGTTGATGGATAAACTACAGAGATGATTAGACGAGAGAAAGAAGTGATGATTTATTAATTATAATCTATCAATAAAGTAACCTATCCCCTCAGTCACCCAAATAACTTTGGAATTTATTAATAATATAAATGGTGGATTATTTAAACTTATTCCAAAAAAAATTAGTGGCATAAACCAAATTTTCTCCACGGTTAAAATAATTATAGTTATTTTTAAATATTATAGGTTCGAGTATCAACGACGGCAAGGGTAATAGAACATTCATTATCAAATTATTAAGAATACTTAGAACATATACTATTTTATAATCATTTTTGATTGAATGTTCATTGTCAAATTATTGAGAATATTTAAAATAAATATTATTTTATAATCAATTTAACTTAATAAAAAATGAATGATTAGTGGTGTTAATAGTTTAAAAAATACCAAAACTTTATTATATTATTATTTTTTAAATGTATTTTTTACTTGAATAAATTATTTTGAGTTTTTCTTTATACTCTCAAACGTTTAATTTATAAATAAATCTTTAACACGTATAATCAACATTCCACGAGTCTGCTAACATACAAATCATAAAACCATTTAGTTTTAAAAATGTATCGGTGATCAGTTGGTATAGTAGGATAATGTACTAATCATTTAAGCAAGCCTATAAGTTCAAATCTTGGAGATTCCGAATGGAGTAAATTGAGTTAAAAGAGTTGTCATTGCCTCTGCAATTCTCGATTTTGATTAGTTGATTAATAAATCATATACGGAGGATTATAAAAAAATTAGGTCTAAAAAGTAAACTTATCTAAAATATTAAAATAATAAAAGATCGATTTTATTTTAATATTTTAACATAGTATTTACTATGAACCATTTCATATTTCAACTTTACTCATTGTACCTATCTTTGTAGTCAAACAATATAACTTTTTAGATAAATGGGATTAGGTGAAAGTTTTGCAATTCTAATATATTTAAAGAAACGACAATAATGGTATATATTTGTTTAAATATTTTAAATTTAATTTAATTTAATCCGATTTATAAATATTTTTAAAATCCTAATCAATGAAAGTTTTAATTAGATACTATTATATTCGGTGTATCATGCCTTTTTCTTTTGGCTGTATTTTCTAGTTTCAATCTTGTTCTATTTTAGATTATGAATAAGCAAATAAATAAAAACTTCTATCGAACAGTCACTTGCAGTGGTCCAAAAAAAAAAAAATATATATATATATATATATATATATATGTTGCTTTGAATATGATTATGATGTAGCAACATCTCGCTTTCTTTGTGGACAAGACAACATGTACCACAGCATCATGAAAGAGAATAAGCATTCCAATGGGAATATTTTTGTAGTGAGGGATGGTACTGAAAAGTCAGAAAAGTCAGAAAACAAGACGGACTGTATAGCTAAGTCCATCAAAGGGTTGCCAAATTTGACTTTGCGTGAGAGTACTGACCCAAGAGCCCCAAAATACGACTCCAATTATTAACATCTTCCACGTGATAATTAAGGTTTAATATAAAAATAAGGGCTCAAACTATATACTTATTTCGAAATTGGTGCTTAAACTATTTTTTAACTCATCCAGATATATAACCTTACAAACATTACTATTTTAGAAGTTTCAACCATAATCATCATTATAAAAACCCGTTAAGTGACACATGTCACAATCTTAAAGTTTTAAAACTTTTATTTTTCTTAAAATATAAAAATAATATTAAAAAAACTCCCCACCCCACTTTCCCCCTCTTGTTCCTATCCCTCCCCTTTGTTTCTTGCTTCCATAGCCAAAAGCCAAACGACCGATTAAACCACACTTGGTTAAACGGTAGATTATCACAATCAAATTTAAGGGTTGATTATTTAGGATTTTAGGGATTAGAAATTGAAATATAGGGAATTGTGAATTTTGGGTTTTAAGATGATGGTAAGGGTTGTGATCGGTCATTAAGTGGTCAATAACGTATGGGTGGTTGGTCGTCGGTGACTGGGTGGACGGAGATGACCGGCAGTTTGAGTAAATGGGATTAGAATAAGAGATTTTAAGATTTTGGGTTTTTTATATTTTAGAAAAAATTTGGGCCTTTTTCAAAAATAAAATATTTTTAATTTTTTTCTAAAAAATAAATTTTCAAAATTACTAGATTATGACACATGTCACTTAACGGAGTAAATTAACGTTGTTGATGGCGCGGTCACTTAAAATGGTAACATTTGTAACGCTAGACACCTAGATGAGTCAAAAAATAATTTAGGCTCCTATTTAAAAATAAAGATATATAATTTTGACATTTATTTTAA